TTTAAATTATCTAAAAAATGCCCGCGGCACTATATCCATCTTTTAAGATTATCTTGCAATAACGACGGGACGCGACCGACGTCGAAGCTTAACTTTATAAAGGTGAAGATGAATTTGGATATCCAAAATAACTATTCTACGCGGACAAAGTCGCTAACACAGGTAGGTACATATTTAGTTGCTTTCAAAAGATAATAATATTGGACTAATAATCAACACGTTGCGACTTCGATTCCCACCGCGTCTAATATAAATAACTAAGTCAAGTTTTAGTATAACATTTTAAAATTTGGTAATGTGGACACTAAATAAACGTTATATGGATGGCGATGGCATTTTCTCCGTGTCGATGTATGGTTCAAGTGAAGACCACACTCATATGTCATCTGCCACAAAAACAGTTTGAAAGACGGTACGGAGTAAGAAATCGGGCCTCATCGAATTTTCATAAAATAATCTATATTTATCCTTCATATGAATTACAATAATTGTTTCTGTATTGTCTACAGATCGGACGCTTTGCATAAGCCGTGGGCAGGGGTGGAACATTCACTTCGTAAAAGTAATTTTTATTTGTATACTTAATTTTTGTCACTTTTTTCGTGAAAACGTGTAGTTTTAATTAAATCCTCCATCTCAAACCGGACTACGGCTTCCAGTCACTCGCTATCTTGACAACTATGAAGAGAATAACTAATTGCGTCGCGAACAAAGCGAACTCGTTAGAAACTTATAAAAATTTCCTCCAAGAACGCCTCTTAAGATGAATTAAAGTTAACTTTTACGCTGCATTTTGATTTATTAGCCTTACTTTGCGTTATTACTTGAACTTAGAAGTTATAACGTTACTTAGAGCTACACCTGTTCGGAAGTAAGATTCAAGAAACACGTTGCGTTGCAACTTGAGGACAACTTACTGTATTAAATTTTAGTCGTTAGCGTAACTTTTCTTCGCTCCTGTGCTTTTTATTTATTTTTTCTATGCTCTAATTATTACAGACATAGCTTAAATAGTATAATTCAAAGGAAACGTCTTAATACCACAGCTCAATGCAGACACAACATCCCAATAATCCGAATATAAATGTGACTAAACAACAAAAGTAATATTTATTTATACTAGTAGTACTAAGATATTTTTAATCTGCAATTACTGTTTGTTTCTGAAGGATTTAATTACTCATATTTTCAATAGAACACATTTAACGTTTCAAAACGCGAAATGTTTTAGTAAACTTTTTTAAATAAGATCCGATATTACGAATACTTTGCATCGGCTGTGGTCACAGTGGCTGTAGATGGTGATAATATAGATCAATTTTTTTCGACTTTTAAACGGTTAAAATGTTTTTTTTAAGTATAAAACTGTAATTCACACAGAACTGACGCTACGACATTGAGTGTTTTAATACCCTCGTACCTCGTACTCAACTTTAATAGTAGTCGCTTGAAATTGTAGTGAAAGTTTGTTGAGTATTTTTCCTACAGCTGAAGAATTGACGGCTACCAATATCCGCTCGAAGCCAATTACAGAGTCAAACGGTACGAAAGGATATTGCTCCCCACCGCTACAAATAGACAAATGAACACTTTTAAAACTGTTGACAATTTGCTGTTAGGATAATGGACAACCCTTTTCACGTTAATTTATACGGCATTTAAGAGAATTTCGCATACTTTTACATAGAGAGAAACTTGCTCGCTTATAATTTTATTAACGCAGCTTCATAAGTAGGTAATGTTGCATGTCTAAGAAAAGGTAAAAAAAATTTATTAACAGGCAAATTGATTTGTATTTTGTGGCATGCTCGATACGATAAAGCTGAAGAGTTTGTTTGTTTGTTTGAACGCGCTAATCTCAAGAACTACAAGTTCGAATTTAATTAATATTTTTGTGTTGGTTAGAGCATTTATCGAGGAAGGCTATAAAACATCGCGCTGCCATTAATAGGAGCGAAGAACGAGGGGAAAATGTGGCGAAACCGGGGAAAATTATTCATCTTTGTGGGATTCCAGATAGCCAGAAAATATTATTATTGATAACTTAGAGATAATGATTTCTCTATAGATGATCTAAGAAAAAAATGACTAAGACACCATAAGTCTATCTTTTAAGATTAAAAACGGCGGGGCGACCCACGTCGCGCGTAACAGCTTAAATCTTAAAGATGAAGAGTAGGTTTGCAAAAAGAAATTTTGAAGCCCAAATTAACTATTCCACCACCAAGTCGCGGACCAACTAGTACAAATACTTCTTAGTAAAAATAAGTCTCAAAATATAATATTTATTTAATTGAACGTCAATCGAAATTTGTCATCTAATTACGAATTTAATAATTGGAACGAACGAGGTCTTTAGGTAATTTTCTCGTCGGCGTTTGCTTTGATCTCGACTCGTTTGCGTCGATTAACTTTTCGACATATTGATAACTTATTATATTGGTAAATTGGAACTACTGCCCAGTTATACGTAAATATATGTGATTGCTTTTAGTTGTATTCTTGCCAAACATTGCTGTGGTCGAACTATTCAGTTACTGTCTAAAACAGAAACGTCCAATACAAAAAAAGTCTGCTTTACTTTTATTATTTGGTACCTAAGTGTTTAAGAATAAAGTTGTAAAAGCTTATTGTTGGTCAATTACAAAACTTCTTTTGCTCTTGCACTTTCTCGGACTTATGTTTGATTCCCGGTTCTTAGGCAATTCGAGTCGAGTTCCCGTTTCTTATAAAGTATATAAAACTAGAAAACATGTTGTATTTTGTCTGGAAATCTGGATATTGGTAAGAATATTGAAGTTCAAGTCAAGTTTAGACACATTTCGGATATCCAAATCCAAAATAGGTCGAGAGCGCATCTTGTTTTAATGTCACATGCCTAGAGTATTTCACCTTCCATTAAGTTAGTCTCATGCTTGCCTGCCCTCCTATTATATAAAAAAATACGAACGTTATAATTCCTTTACATTTACAACGAACGCATTATACAATTTAAAAAGCAGAGTGTTTTAAATATAATGAAAGAAAAGTTTTTCGCGTTTTAAACCGTTGAAAATGTTTTATTCAATGTGTACTATTGGCTCAAAGAACAGACCTTCCCGCCACTCCAGACTTCCGACCATCAATATTTTCTTTAAAGATTCATGATATTCAATTGCGAGTGAAGAGCCAATCCAAGTCCCCGTCTCCTTAATCTCTTAACCATTCGACCCTTCGTTAGGTCCAGACCATAAATACTCCGTGGACACATCCAATTTCACCCGATACGCACTCGGCCTATGGAATGGCCACAGATAAAATATAACCGTATTTCTCTCACGAAAGTGGCTTACACAATATAGACTTTTTCCAATTATGCAGGAAAACTTTGATATAAAAAACTAACGGTTGGAAACGCGATATATATTAGTTAAACTTAATTGAAAACTACTTTAACTACGGCCCGACATTTCCGATGCACGTAGAGACCCTCCCCGTGACCACGGCTGTTGCAAGTTTAACTACCATATATCGCGTTTTAAACCGTTAAAGTGTGTTATTTAAATGTTTACTACTCGTGTAAACCACAGACAGTGTTTAAGCAGGAAATGATTTTTGATTTAAGAGGATGTATCCTAATTCTTCCCATTTTTAATCGCGTTTCAAACGTTTGATGATTCATTTTATGTTTCAAAATTCAAATTATTACGTTTCAATATGAAGAACCTTCATTAGCTGTTCTCCTGACAAAGTTCATCGAAATCAAAGAGACGAATTACACGATTGTATTTACAAAGTTCAGTCATTAATCAATGTTATTACATAAATGTAGCTTTGTTTGAGAGAGGAACACATACTACGAGGGATCGCAAATTATATTTATTGATAAATACACGGAAATAAGTATCGTCTTGAGTTAACGTGAGTAGAATTTAATATTAAAACACATAAAAATATAAATAAGACACTTTTAACGGTTTTAAACGAGATGTATATTAGTTTTTTGTGTTAGTCTAACGGTAGCAATGTATCGCTAACAATCAACATGTTGGATTTCGTCTCGAAACCCGAATATCAAATGGGTGTTCATCGCACTTCGGCCCGAATATGGAAAGCTAAAACAGGTCGACAGCGCGTTGCAGCGCAGTTTAGATGTTATAGGCTGTATTATTTCATCAAGTCAACTCCAAGCTTGTCCGTTCTCGTCTATCATTAAAAAACTTAAATTATACACAATTTATTTTAACTACGGCCCGAAGCTTCAGTTTTTTTTTAATGTGTTTTATCTATACATGATATAACCTTAATAAATACTTTGTATTGTGCTGTTGAATTCTAGTTTCTCGTTAGAACATCTATAATATCGATCCGCAGTTCGGTTGCTAATGGATTTCAAATAGTTTACAGCAAATGATTCTGGGAATCAAATATTGAACTTGCTTCGTAAATAGGGGAGAATTCTAGTCCGAATCTCTAGTAGATGATGTTTGTTATACTTCATTCTGATTGGAAACATATAACTCATACGCCGAACCCAATTTATACTAATATATAAAGCAGAAGAGTTTGTTTGTTTGTTTGAACGCGCTAATCTCAGGAACTGCTGGTTAGAATTGAAGATAATCAATAAGTATGTATGAAAGAATGATTCCTCTTTAACTTTCCTCTTAAGCTTAACTTGCAAGAACGACGGGGAGGGACGCGACCGACGTCGTGGGTAACAGCTTGTCGTGCGTAACATGAAAGGGTTTGCTAAAACGATTTTGGATGCCCAAAATAACGATTTTCGCGGACGAAGTCACTGGCACAGCTAGTATAATTTAAATACTATAATGTTTCCCGAACTTAACATGTTTAAATTTAATTAAATAAACCTTCTGTCCGGCGCCGGCGCTTCGGCTTGTATAACCGTAATATAGAATAGAGTGAGTAAAAAGGCATAGAGTATTAGTCTATGAAGTAGTAGTCTATGAAGCTAGAACGTATATATATTATATTTTTGGTCCACAGACATGAACACTATGAGAGGGAAAGTAACCGGATTCTGGAGAGACCTCCGCAAATATGGTTTGAGCCATTGTGAGCTGGAAGATATGCTCACTAATGTCACTGTACTGCTAAGAACTGTGACGCTGAACATAGACATAAGAAGCACGAAACGTAAGTAAATACATATAATACATCAATGCAAGAAAATCTTTTGGAATGGATTTCCGTGCCATCTACTTATTTCAATGATAAATCTATATAATATTATATATTTAAATAAAACACTTTAACGGTTTAAAACGCGATATATTAGTTAAACTTATTTGAAAATGATTTTTAACTTCGGCCCGACGTTTCGGATGCTTTTTGCAGCAGCAGCAATCGTTTTCAAATAAGTTTAACTAATATATCGCGTTTTAAACCGTTAAAGTGTTTTATTTAAATGTGTACTACTCGCGTAAACTATAGACAGTATCTAATATGATATATGCTATATAAAAAATCTTTATCGAAATAAATAGCTTTGACCTACGACTCCAATGGCCCGTTGGATTTTAAGTTAAACAGTCAGGTACAGATTTTGATATTAAAACCAATAAAACGAATGGTTAAACATCGTCGTCCACAAGCGATAGAATGGTTTGGTCCTGTTAATTTCATCGTCGTCAAAGTCTGTTACGTTTTTACGAGAAAAAGTTGTTTTAACGTTGTTGAAGGGTTATATAAATAAGAAAGAGGGGACGAGGGCATTATGCTACTACCTCGTAGACTATATTTGGTGATTATATTAGACACTAGCTGTGATTGGGTAGAAATTATTGTTTATTAATTTATGTAAGGGCGCATTTAAGGCAGCCAATCTATGGTAAGTGCTACTTTGCCGCAACACTCTTACCTCACATGACTTCTACTCTAACTCCCACTCTCATTCCTACACTCACTCCCACGCCCACGCCCACCCTGCTCCTATTCTCAAAAAGCCAAACAATAAAGTTCTATGGTTTTAGCTTCAAAAAACTACGAATTTCCAACTTTTCACCCACCCATTTAACCCCTCAAGCCCTTTTCGCAATAAAAAGCCTATGCCTGTGTCCTTTCTCATGGTCTAGACCATCTGTATAACAAATTTCATTCAATTCTGTTCAGTAGTTGTGGCGTGAAAGGGTAACAGACAGACAGACAGAGTTGCTTTCGCATTTATAATATTAGTAAGGAAGGATCAAATGAGAGGAATATCGAAGATTCCATCCTGCTCACGAACCACCGTTTCGACTTCAGTTCAAAGCAAAATTATTAGCGTGGGGTTCGCTGGATGGTCTATACCCCACCCATATAGGGTGGGGTATAGACCATCCAGCGAACCCCACGCTTTCTGTCCTGCTCTAACATAAAAAATATTGCCAGCGTATCTAGTCTAATCGGTTTTCTAGTAGCCTGAATCAATCCTTATATGCTTAAACCCTTTCAGCGATACCACTTATTAGCTACGTGTTAACGATAGTCGGCTTCGTCTTCTACTTCTACATCTATCTCGTATCCATGATTTGGTGCGCGTTCGTGCGTTACCGCCGAATGAGATACTTTCTCGGCTCCATCATTGTGTTCTCAGTCGGCGCCTATACAGAATCCTGCGCAATACGCTTTCTTTTCATGGCGTTTAACACGTAAGTTTGCTATACGATTCCTTCTTATTTATTTCTACATTTCCGAAACGGCTCTGCCTATTTGCATGATTTTTGTGAGTTGTATGAGAAAATAGCATAAAATATATTTATAAGGCAAGTACATAGAAAGTTTTTAAATATAGATAGAATCTAAATCTTTTGTTTAAAACTTGACGTGAAGTTTATTTGTTCTTTTACTGTATTTTAAAAAAGACACAACTAACGTTTTAAACCGTTTCAAAAAAATTGGTTTAATTTTAACTTGCGTGTTTTTTTGATAAATCTCCACTTATAAATATTTATTATATACCTATTACAAACTGCGGGTACTTCGGGAATCGTGATCCAGCACAATGTTATGTGAATTAGTAAAAGAAATTGGCACATTCCTTTTTTAGTGCTACAATTCTATAATTCTAATTATTTATAAATTTTCCAATAATTCTAATTAAGTAATTATAATGTGTCGTGTAAACTAGCTCTTCTTAACAGAGACGTCTTAAGGGAAGTAGTCGCGAGGTACCGCATCTGTAACAGCCAAGTGGAACCAGGCAGCAGGCTTGCAAGGAATATTCTGAAACATCTAAAGTCTGTCAAGAAGAGGGCGATATTTATTTGGCTGGCTCTGGTCATCAATGCTTATCTGTACTTGGTTCTGCCATTCTTCCTACCGGGCAAGCAGTTTGCCGAAAACAGGCTAATTATATTTGGTTAGTTATTATTTATATGAAACACTTTTGACGATTTGAAACGCGAAATTAATTTGTTCCATTTTTTTTAACATAGAGGAGGACAGACAAACACGTTGTTCACTTGATGGAAGATGAAATACCCCAGCTCACAGCATCTAAGCAAGATGCGTCGTCGACCTATGTGGTCCATGACCCGGACGGAATTTCTATATTCCTACCACGCATTAAATATCCAGATTTCCAGACGTAGTTCAACATGTTTTAGAAAAATTAAACTATCCTATCCTGTATCCTACTTACAAGCTTCGGCCTAGAGAAAGTGAAATACTTTTTTTTATTTTCAGGTCTCGAGCCAATAACAGAGTCACCCAACTATGAAATAGCGCAATTGATGTATTGTTTCGCCATACCCACCGCCACGAACAGCTTAGCCAACTGCACAGCTCTCATGATTATCCTACTAGGTTACACTGAAGCTCAACTGCTGGCTCTGAGTGAGGAGCTAAGAAGCATGTGGAGCGATGCTGAGATATATTACCAAGAAAGAGCGGACAGAGAAGAGAACAGAACTGTAGTGATTAATGATTACGTGCGAGAACGGTTGAAGTTCATAATTAAATTGCACAACGAAAACATCGATCTGCTAAAACGATTGGAACACGTTCTCAGGGTCAGCATGGCGTTGGAGTTCATAGTGCTGATGGCCGGTCTCATCGCAGCGCTGCTAGGAGGAATAGAGAACACGTATTTAGAAATACCGTTTGCGTTTGCGCAGCTGTTCATGAACTGCTACTTGGGGCAGAAGATCATCGACTCTAGTACTACCTTCGAGAAAGCGGTTTACGACTGCGGATGGGAGAATTTGGATCACTCGAATATGAGAACCGTATTGATCGTGCTGCAGAACTCGCAGAAGACTCTGCGATTGTCCGCCGGAGGTGTCGCTATATTGAGCTTTGAATGTTTGATGTCAGTTATAAAATCTTGCTACTCTTTCTACACGACACTGCAATCCACTTTGAAATAAGCACTATGCAATAAAACATTTTTAAAAAATAGTTCGTATAGTGGCTTTTAACGTAGTGTAATTAAATCTTTCTCTCTATTCTGTCGGGCTCATTTGTCCAATGATGTACGACTAACAGCCTGGGAGTCGCGACCGTGGATTGGATTACAAAAAATAAAATACATTTAACAGTTTAAAACACGCAATATATTAGTTCACTTATTCTTAATGCAATTTAAATACGACCTGATATTCAGATAACAGAGTAGAGTTAACAGTTTTTTTTTTAATTTAGTGTAATTTTTTGTGTTTTTTTTCTGAGAAGTAACTCCTGAAATAATTAGAAAGGGTCGTAGGACAAGAACCACAAGACAGAATAAATCCGTATAAACGAATATCAGTTACAATCAACAAACAATTTTCAAAGCTAAAATAGGTAGATATCATATGGCTACTGATGCATAATGGGTATATACATATTTACGAAATCTAATCTCTTAAGAGTTTTCTCTTATTGGGCGGTCCATCAAAATCGCAACGTAATCAGGGAAATTAAAACATTTAGACAATTTATGCTAAAATTATACTAATGCTGGCTCCGGCCGGCTCATCTACATTTAAATTATAGCCTTAAATAAAACGCTAAGGAATAAACGGCTCAGTTGTTGGAGCGTCAGAAAGGATTTCGTGTCGAATTAAATCCTTGTAATAAAATTTATATCTGCTCTCGACTAGAGAAACGAACGGAATACGCGATAATAGTTATAAATTTAATTGATAGAAACGAGATTTGTGGTATAATAGACCTACTACGTTTTACTAAACTCCTTTAATTTGTGTATTTTTGTCAAATGCTAACCAAATAGTAGTTACAATGGAAATTCCGTACCCCAATTGGTTCTACAAAAGCTCTAAGATCGCAGGTTTAAAACTCCACTCGTAACGTATTTTTATAATAAAGACATATTCAAATAATCATTTCTAAATTAAAAACGGTTTAAATTACGAAGTTTATTGGGTAACTTATTTACAATTTATTTTAACTACGGCCCGTTGCGGATTTTTGCAGCAGTCGTGGTCAGGGAGGACCCAGACAATACTCAAAGTACGTATATTCATGTATCTTTTCAAGTTTTATTGAACACCACACCTGTATGTAATTGTGAAATTGTATAATTTCACCAATAACGTATTCATGTAATGACTTAACTGACGCCTGAGGTGGTAGAATGATTGGAAGTTAACACAACACCACAATTAGTGGCCTAACGACGTAATCCAAGAAGCGCACTGTACTGCATTTAAATCAAACTTCTCAAGACAGACAAACAACTCGTGTGTGATTCGAAGATGAAGATTAACATTTCCTCTATGCTGGGAAGTATCGTTAATCGATTTCGAATGTACAGTTTGGATAGATGCGATTTAAGCACAATGGTTGAAAATGTCGGTTTCCTGCTGAGAGCTGCTACCGTCAACATTGATAAAAGAAATCTCAAACGTGAGCAAAATTTTTAAAAGTTAAATCATCAAATTTCTTACATCTTTGGATTAAATGTACATTGTAATCTACTTATCTGGGAATTCAAAAAGCATAGTTTAAAAAGTGTGAAGTCCCGTTTTCCCCTCGCGGGGCATGGGGCATGCACATTTCTGTGTCCGTTTCACTGATCGTTTTTTTTAACAGAAAACTAGTTGATCAGACTTCTGTACCCTACCCGACCAGAACATTGTTTTTTTGTTTCTCTGGGATTCGAACCCAGGACCTCTCGCGCATAACGCAATCCTATACCATATGGCTACAGAAGCGGTCAATATTTGAAATTTTATTTTCGGAATTCATTTTGGTCAAGGACAATGACGAACACTCATACACGATTCATATGAGAGACAAAATGGCGTCTATATGCAAAAAAATATATATATAAATATTTCTAAAGAGAAAAACACCCGAAAAGGTCTTGGTTTGTAGGTATTACATTGTGAAAATCTTAAACGGCGTATGTTATATTTTACAGTCGGTAAAATTTAAAAACAAATTTATATTTAAATAAAACACTTTAACGGTTTAAAACGCGATATATCAGTTAAACTTATTTGAAAATGATTTTTAACTTCACAGGGAGACCACGGCTGCTGCAAAGCATCCGAAACGTAGGGCCGTAGTTAAAAATCATTTCCAAATAAGTTTAACTAATATATCGCGTTTTAAACCGTTAAAGTGTTTTATTTCAATGTGTACTACTCGCGTAAACAAATTTATATGTCTTTTCGAGATGCTTAAAAATATACAATAATATTTTGTCATTACAAATAAATTGTGTAACAACTCGGAGAGTAGGTACTAAACATCACTAATTCAGTTATGTAGGTATCAAAACTAACCCACACTGGAGTAGCGTGGTGGGCCTAATATTTTACATCCACCCTCCTATTAGACAGGATACGTTTAAAATGTATATAGCCTACACTAATACACTAAAGGTGAACGGTTTGATTTGATTGATATCCATTGCGTGCGCAGGAAACAAAAATATTTTGAAACGACTCCTCGAAACGAATATATGTCTATCTTTTAACTCGCAAGAATCATTTTTATTGTAATCGAATTTGGTCAAAATGAATGCATAATAACAAAATCATTTGTTATATCAATATCGCATGTTATTGCACATGATGGCACTGGATAAACTAAAAAAGAATTAAGATTGAAAAAAAAATTACGATACGGTCCGGTATTGCACTGAACTGGCATCCACAGCGTTACGTGCTGTTTCTCTAAATAATTGTGTAGCCGTGTTATTCGATTTTTATTTAAGACATTACTATGCCTATACCTCTTAAACAATATATGTGTTATATATCTAGATATGATTATTAATTTATTTACTATGAAAAAAAAAATCATTTTTAATTTACAGCGATACCCATAATATTCTATGTCCTAACTATCATTGGATACAGTTGCTATTATTACGTCTATCTGATATCGGTGCTTTGGTTCGTGTTCGTCCACTATCCTCAAACAGGAGATTATGTGGCTACCATCATCGTCTTCTCCTTAGGAGCCTTTACGGAGACCTGCCCTATAAAGTTACTGTTCATGGTTATTAACAGGTAAGTTTTTAAATAAAACACTTTAACCCTTTAAAACGCGAAATATATTAATTTATATATTTTTAACTGTGACCTGGATGGTCACGTGGGGATTACGTAAAGTTAAGTAATATATTTTTAAACTATTCAAACTGTTTTTTTATGTATGTTTGTTTGCATAGTGTGTACAGTACACTGAATCGGATCTTTTAATGAACTTTCTGTTATGATTTCAGAAATCTTATAGCAGACGTCGTCGAACGGTATCTGATTTGCGACGGCCAAGTCAACACCGCCAGTCGATTCTCGAAGAACATTCGAAAACATCTGCGAGTGGTCAAGAAGCGAGGAACCATAATATGGCTAACTTTAATGATAAACGCATACATTCACTGTCTGACACCGTTATTTCTACCCGGTCGACACTTTCCGGAAGACGAGTTTATACTCTATGGTATGAAATGAATTCATTGTTTACTTGTATTGTTACGCCTACGTCGTTGGAGCCGTGTGTCAAAATTAAATGCATTGCTTAGACGGGGCAGGGCAGAAGAACAAAATAGCTCGCCTTCGCATTTATAGTACAGAATTAATATAAAAATTCATTTGAATAAAACACTTCCCCCCCCCCGTGACCACGGCTGCTGCAAAGCATCCGAAACGTCGGGTCGAAGTCAAAAATCATTCTCAAATAAGTTTAACAAATATATCGCGTTTTAAACCGTTGTATTTAAATGTAAACTATCGACAGTATTAAACAGAATACATTTTTGATTAAAAAAAATTGTACGACACGGTTAGAATTTGAACCTGCATCCACAGCGTTCCGAGCTGGTCCTAACTAATTGAGCCATCGTAGAATTATCTTCGTTAAGGGTTAAATTTTTGGCTTATGTTTACTTTACAGTTACAGTGATTCCTACGCTTTTTAGCTTATTTTACAAACAACAACATTTATATATGGAGTGGGTTTTAATATTTTAGTTTTTGCTTGCAATATGTAAAAAAACATGCATCATACAATTAAATTTTTGTAGTTTTATTTTTTTGGCTGAATCTTTTACTTTTCCACATTAACGTTACTGTTATACATTTACAAGAAATAACTTTTCTCGTGTTTCAAAATGAGTTTTTGTATTTAGAAAGTGGTGGAAAAGAAACATTTGATATACAAACTCTTTATATTATGTAAGTAGTTTTTAATATAAGAAGTCTTTCATCTAATAACTTTAAACACCTTTTATGTGTATGCGTTTATCATTTCAATTGTTTAACATTTTCATTCAGGCTTAGAGCCGATGAGAGAGTCACCGAACTTCGAAGTCGCAACCGCCATGTTTACCATCAGCATCTCAACCGGAGTATACAGCCTCGCCAACGGCACCGCTTTTATGGTAATGTTGTTTGGCTACACCGAAGCCCAAATAATCTCGCTGAGCGAAGAACTCCTCAACGTGTGGAGCGACGCGGAAAAAGAGTACGAAAATGTCGTCGATATTGATTTGGAAGATTTGAACGCATTTATTGCGACGCGTTTGAAATTCATAGCTCGTATGCACGTCGAAAACATAACGCTAATCAAGCAAATTGAAAACGTACTTCGTGTGAGCATGGCTTTAGAATTTTTGTTCCTAATGGCCGGATTGATAGCGGCCATGTTGGGCGGTATAGCCAACACCTACTTGGAGATCCCCTTCGCTCTAGTGCAGATATTCATGAGCTGTTATCTGGGTCAGAAAATTATAAACTCGAGTGAGACGTTCGAAGTTGCGATATACGGTTGTAAATGGGAGAACTTCAATAAAAGCAACATGACAACCGTTCTGATCATGCTGCAAAATTCGCAGAAAACTTTGAAACTGTCAGCGGGCGGGGTGGCCATTTTGAGTTTTGAATGTTTAATGTCGGTTATGAAATCTTGTTATTCGTTTTATACGACGCTGCAATCGACTATTAAGTAACTGGTCGAATAAATTAAATCGAATTCAGGATTCTCCTTGTATAACGAAAATAGAAAACGTCAAAATTATCGATAAACGCAGACTCTAAAAACATACCTCCGATCTAGTGGTTAAATGTCTCATGTACACTGTTAATTGTGGAATGTCAGTCAATATCGAGACCGGGATTAAAGGGCGCCCATAAAAAAAGGACACGATTAGAAACTTACGTTACGACGTATTTACACTATTAATTTTATAAAAAGTAACACTTAATAACGCACTGCACTTGCGGAAACACCCCTCTCCAATAATCAAACATTATCTTGATATGAAAAACTGTGCATCCAAACCGCCTAAGCGCGCGCTTACGTCGCTAGGCCGTCGTAGTGAAAAATCTAAACTACCTATCTACAAATACCCTATAATATAATTTTATTTCGAATACCCAAGCTTCCTCCTTTTTGGCACAGCCCTATGCTAACTGTTCCCAGCTAATATGGTTCTTTACTTACCCTCTAAATACGAAACCCCAACCTTAATACTATATTATATGAAGTTTAATAATTACAAAGGCCAAAGAAAATGATTTAACTATATAATTGCATCGGAAGAATTAATTCTCGCCCGTAGTCTGTTCAAAGGAGGTTAATTACTGAAATTAATTTACCACACATGTGCTTTCTTCGTAACAACTTAATATAGAGCGTATATAAAATATATTTTTTATGTTGGACATATTTTAAGACGCGGACCGCAACCATGGTGCGCGTGATTGGTGTATAAAGGGAAGCTTTTTAGCGGACTGTATAATAAGGAACAATGGAAAAGTACTCACGCAGGCTTCTGGTCCTTCTCGGAGACATAGTGATCTGCAGGAGCTGGTTTAGTGGGCGCCATCGGGGTACAATGCGAGCACAAAACACATTGATAACAGTTTTAATGTGAATTTACAGCACTTCATTATTACTACTCAGTATTTCCATACGAAAATTTTAATTTGATTAAATAAGTGCTACAACTAGTCTACGAATATTTATGAACAGCAGCTTGTAAAAGAAATAATGATTTAAGGAATCGACTGTCATTTAATCATTGGCTACGGACCGCGTAATTTATTCTATGTATGTCCTTGAACACAGAGGCGTTTTGCTGACTGTCTCCTACGACCTGAATTTCTACGACACACCCTTATCGTGTAAGAGGAATCGGTTTCCATCTTTTAAACATCACGATAATTATTGTTCTTTCTTTGTACTGTGTACTTTACCATCTACAAGTACATAGTTATAAAAATAAATCAAACGTCTAATTATATTTTATTTGTAGTTAATATAGGAAAACCAATATTACAAGTTTCTTATTACCAAATCAACTTGCAAGATTAGAGCAAGTTCCTGAAACATAGTGACGTTGATGAAGATGCGTCCTCTTGAAAATGGAAAGCTTTTGTAGAGGATGCTGCGCGGAGATGATACGTTAACCAGATGATAGATGCCCTAAAAAGATTTTTTTTTAAGTTGTATATATCGATTCTCATCTGTAAATTAAATGGATCACAAATCGCTTCCTTTTAGCATGGCTAATCCAATATAACTCGGCAGCACATCCTAACTAAATACAGGTTTGGGGTTTTTCCTTCCACCGCCACTAATGCTCGTCTTGTCAATGTATATCAAATATCATTGGCTTTTTTTCCTGATAGGGATAAAGCAAAGCTTTGCTCTTTAAAAATTGGAAAAACAAGTTATCAAAAAGGGGATCGACATTTTCACGTGCAGCTTGGATGAATTGGCACATCACTTTGAGGGATATGTTAATGGTAGAATATGTTTATAAATAAATAAAGTTACCGGCGGATAAGGACACTTAGTAGAGTTAGTGGGCCGTTCAGCTGGAGGCATCGACTTCAGCATCGCTTCCAGCGCGCGCACCATCGACGCTCCGATCACGAGCTCGTCTTTTTGCAAGTCGCACATTTTGATGTGGAACTCGACAAACGTTGGTTTATACTGATTCGTTAGTAGCTCGTAATAATGAAGGTGAATCTACAATGCATAAATGACATTGATAGAATCCATTAAAAAAATTGCTTCATGTTTTGTTTTTGCGATATATTCAAGGTTTCGTACTGAGTAGGACTAAGAAACATCGGGCTGTCAAAAGGTTCGTTATAATATACTAGTGAAAGAACTTGGGTCTGTGGGATGAAGTTGCTGAGCACAGGATAGATAACGATGACGAAAGTGACTTGAATTAGCTAAGACCCATAAGGGGCACAGCCATTGGTGATGATAACATCAAAAACGCTTATTAAATAACTAGATTTAGAACTTACATAAAACGTAATCATATAACCGTAACTATCTATAATGGTACAGAACCTTTTGGTATTTTTTGAGATACATCTTGTCCTGAAAACTATACTCACAATCGAATTATAGTCGATCACTTTTTTTGTGTGTGCGTGAATACTCATGTAATAAGGACTTTTGCGATTGAGTCTACGAGATGTCATGTTGAAGAAAACGAAGTGTTTAGAATTCACGTACGAAACAACAGGTCTTTCGACTTCAGGAAACACCTCCTGGAAATGTTCAAACTCATTATTAGTAGTGTTTATAAAAAAATACTGTATCAGAGACTTCGTGCACGTAGAATAGTTATTTTGAGCATCAAATTTGTTTTTGCAAACCTCCTCCACATCTATATAAATTATAGGTTTCACCTGTCGACGTCGTCCGCGTCCCGTTGCTCTTGCAAGTTTATCTTAAATGATTATCTTTTTTGAGATCTAATAAAAAGAAATAATTTATTCGTACGTATTTTTGGGTATCTTGAACCGTTTTTGTAAGGTGCGCAATGGAAATCCACAAGGATGAATGATTTTCCCGTTTTTTTATTTTAACATTTACCGCTGTTTCTTCGCTCCTATAAGTTGCATTCCTCGATAAATGCTCTAGCCAACACAAAAATAATTTTTCACCTCGAACCAGAAGTTCCTGATTTTAGCGCTTTCAAACAAACACACTCTTCAGCTTTATATACTTATTAGTATATCTTATAACACGTTATAAGATATTACCTTTGGACCTTTAAACAAGCATATAATTATGAGTATGTACACGTACCTTACAATCAATGTTTTTAAACATGCTTATATAATTGTATAATAAATATAAATTCAGTAAGGCAACTAATAATTTCATAGTGAATTTCATGAAAAATTACACCGATTGTACCTTTCGAGGAGAGCAATTCGAACAATGCCCGTTTCGCGTTTAATGTATTAATTTAAAGCGAATTAAGCCAGTTTGATATTACCGTCGATATAGCTAATGTTTGTTTAATTATAACGCCACAATACGTACTTATTATAAAGGCACTCGGGTTTGCTGATTCGATGGAACATTCGCGTCCATTACAATGAATATTCTTTACAAAATTAAAAATTTACAATATATTCAGATTATTAAACACGTGCGGGGCTCGAACCGGAATCCATAGCGTTCCGTACTGTCCAACAAAGTTGCTCAATTGGTTAGAGAAGCAATATGAAAGGCTGTGAATCCCGGTTTTAGGTTTTTAAATCTAAAATTGATTTTAATATTTTGAGTTTTGATGCTAGATCTCTTTTTTCTAATTAACAAAAAACATCAAGTTTTAGCTACAGACACTAGAACGAATCATTGATAACGCCGATGTTCGTGTTGTAATTTTCCAACCATAAAATGTGTAAAACGAAACGGCGTCTGCGCTACTAATGAGAGCTAGATTAGTAGGTATATTGTATTAATTCGGATGGCACCCTATGTACATAACTAGCTGAGTCAGCGACTGCGTCCAAGTAAAATCGCTTTTTTGACCATCAAATTTGTTTTTCTTGTACAACTCTATACATTTAAGCTATCTGTAAGAATTTTTCCAATTCGAACCAGTACTTTCTGAGGTAAGCGCGTTCAAACATACAAACAAATAAACAAACTCTTCAGCTTTATATATTGGTATTCATAATTACAATTGGAAATAAATTATACCTAAAATGACCTTTAGCTTGTACCATCCTTATAAAACTCAGCGGTGCAGTACTGTGCAAAGCGATGCAAAACACGGAAACACCTAGCCTAGCTACAGTCTCATTATTTGCTTCCTTCGATCCGTAAATCGTGGCAAAGCAGATGTTACCAACCTTTTTAATGTTTTAAATTTTACTAATCCATTATCCAGTAATTGACATCTAATTCAATAAATATATAGCAGATAACAATAAATTACACACTATTTCTTTTTGCTCATAATTATACTTTTGTTGCTGTTATGAAAATAACCAACAAAATCGTTAAATTTAACATTTTTAAGTTTGCTGATAGAATATATAAATCTGTAAATATGTAAAGAGGATTCATAAAAGGTTTGGCTTCCGCGTAAAAGCAGCCAGTTTGTCTACACAGCTCTGTCTACGTACTATCAAAAAGCGATGCAGATGAGAACACTTTGAGTTTCAGTTTCAAAGCTTAGGTAAGTATATTTATCTAAAATCTTCAGGGACGTCGTGTACCTACAAAAAAATTGAATAAACGAATCAACGAAAAAAACTCATTGCTTTTTTATTTTTGTAAATAGATGACTAATTCAATAATCCAGCTTTTTTCTGATGAAAAATTTAAAAGTAAAACAAAACGGGATGTAACGAAAATGAAGACCTAGAACCGTAAAAGTATTATTACTTGTTGTCAATGTAATGGTTTCTTTGTTTTTAACATTATTTACAGATCCACGCAACTTCATAAGCAGAGTTCATTTTTATTTAAAATGACACGGCTACGGAACATTCGTCTCATTTGCTGAAATGATGCATTCAAACTCACGACAAGTGTTAGATGTGATTTAGAGTGGATTATTAAATATAACATAATTGTATTAGTCATTAATATTTCTTTAACCCGTCCCTTTTTAATAAAGCCGTTTTAATCTGTTAGCCAGTGTCAAAATAATGTCAATGTCATAATTTGCATTATGGGCAATCTGTCACTGTCACTGTCATTTTGAGTAGTTGAACTATTGTTTACATGAACTGTAGATATCGACCTATAGGTCAGAGACCGTGTTATTGTTTAACATATTATAAATGCTATTAATTAATTTTATGTGATATTAAATAGTTAAACAAGATGCGTTGGAGCGAACAGATAACACAAGACTTTGTCAAAATGTACTTAAAATACGATTGCTTGTGGAATACGAACCATCCTGATTATAAATTGAGACAGCGAAGAGATAAGGCATATTCCTCGTTATCAGCAGAATTTAAAGCAGTTTCCAAAATTTCACTCACAACTACTGAAATAAAAGTCAAGATAAAGAATCTGAGATCTACATATATGCAAGAAGTGAACAAAGTGTTCCAGAAATCTAGCCCTGATTGGATATACAAACCTTCACTGGTGTGGTTTGAGGACATGGATCGTTGCCTAAAACACACCTATGTACGGCGATCGACTTCAAATTCTAATGTTAGTATTGTTTATCTTTCTAAACCCTTTAGCAACCTTTTCTGTTTTAAATTAACTTTAAGTAATTATTATGATTATTGTAGATACAACAAGGACCTGAGGTTGATTCATCCTGTCAAATTTGGGTGAACCAAATGGATGCAAATCTTAAAGAGGAACTCGATCCTGATCCACTTATTCCAAAAGATAATTACTGTGACTCCCCAAGGCCAGAAGAATCTAACCAAGATGATTCAGAGACATTACTCCCACCAAAAAAATCGAAAAAGAAAAAACAAATGAAGTCAATTATTTCAGACAATTCGGAAATCACAAAAGAGGATGAGTTTGACATTTTTGGCAAATACATAGCAGCTCAATTAAGAAGCATGCACCTGCACAAAGCCCTTCGGTTGCAGCTAGAAATACATGGCTTGGTGAATGAAGCGAGGGTTTCTGATAATAATGACTAGAAGTTGAACTAAATGAAGTATTTAAATATTAAAGCAATATTGACTGAAAATGTTCTATGCACAGTTCTTTCAAAAAAGTTTTTCTATTTCTCTGGTCTATTGATATGATTTTGGGCGGGCACTCATTACCCAGTGTAACAGAATAGTGAAAAACTTGTAACATTGTGTATATATAGACCCGGAAAATGTGGGCACAATATGCTACACAGACGGTTCCAGGAAAGAAACGACAAAGCTCTCTGGGTCAGGCATATACATGATATGCGAGGACGGGACAGAGATAACTAGATCAATCCCACTAGGGAAACTTGTTAGCGTATTCCAGGCGGAGATATTCGCCATCATGGAATGTGCAGACATTGCCAGGCACTTGAGACCCCTGTCAAGTGTTACAATTTACAGTGACAGTCAGGCGGCACTTAAAGCGCTATGCAAAGAAGAGACAACATCTGCTATTGTCAAAGAATGTAAGAAAGCACTGCACAAACTAACTGATCAGGTAGAAGTGGCAATTGCCTGGGTCCCCGGACACCAAGGAAATATTGGCAATGAGAGAGCGGACGAACTCGCTCGCGAAGGAGCCGATGAAAGCTTGATTGGGCCAGAACCGAGACTTCCGATAGCCCATAAAGTAACCAAGGGAATAATCGAGCGCAGAATCATAGAAGAGACAAACCAAAGATGGAAATCTTCGACTGGCATGAGACAGTCGAAAATGTTCATACATAGCCTAGATAAAAAGAAGACCAAAAACCTGATGCAACTAACGAGAGCGAACATCCGACTCATCGTAGAAATCATAACAGGACATTGCCGTCTAAACAGACATCTTACAATGATAGGAATAGGTAGCGATCCCCTATGTCCGGAGTGCAGAGAAAGTGAGGAAACAAGCATCCATCTACTCACTGAATGCTCTGCATACTCGCAAGCTAAGACAAATGCATATGGGCTCGGATGAAGTTACAGTAGAAGACATTAAAGAACTACAGATGGAAAAAATAATAAGATTCTGCAAGCAAACCGGAAGGTTTGAAGGGGACACGGGAAGAGTTGGATGACCCAAACCTCTGCGAGGAGGAAATGGGGAAATGGGTGAAATGGTCAGCTGATAACGTGGACTGATCACCCGTCCTACCACAGGTGTCCCCGAAAGAAAATAATAATAATAACATTGTGTATATAAGGAGTATCTTATCAACAAACTTGATTTAAATGGATGTCTGTGTGCCAAATTGAAAAATGTTTGTTGTGAAATAAAACAAGATATGCAAGTCTGATTTTTATTGCTGTTACAGCATCTGGTTATAGTACAAACGAACATTACAAACCGCTGACTTTCCACTAGTGAAGATCCAGATCTATTCACTTTACGATATTTCCTTTTTCGCGCTCGGGTCGCATTAGTTCATGAAAAAATATATCAGTGTCTATACTGACGTTTCTTCCGCGTTCGAAAAAAAAACAAAAACTTAAAACTATTTTAAGTACTTAAAAACAGACCGCGTCCGGTTTTTGGGGAGGGCAGTGCGCTGTTAAAAAAATAACTTCTAAAACTTAAGATTACAAATAAAGCCAAGTTTCGCTTAGTGTCGCGAAATTTTCCGTGTGACACCATTCGAGAGGTGGCCGTTGGCGAGTTTCAAGACTAGAGTGGACGACAAGTTGTCTCAATCTCAATATGTTTGATCGTTAATGCAGAATGTGCGTTACCTATCGGCGTGGCAGAAACAAATATACACACTTTACATGAGAGTTAACTTTTAACGAGGGTTTTATGATAGAAAAAAATCTAGAAGATAACGTCTGCAGAGTGACCGACTTGAACTGTAGACCAGGAGACACAAAATAAATCTAGCCTTTTTCGAAAAAGATACGTGGATGAGGTTATCTACAAATAATAGCTTATAAAAAAATATATTTCCGCTTCCATTTCATTCGGTCTACAATTCACTTCGGCGAGTGGCTCATTTTGAATAATGCATTTCAGGCGGTAATAGTTCCTTTCACAGCTAAAATAAAGTAAATGCAAAAGCCTGGAAGAAAAATTTGGAAGTATAATGACACAAGTCGGAAGTGAAGTTTAGCCGTCTCACCGTTAATAGAGCCTTCTGTCAAATACAAACAATAACAAGGGCACAAGTGTGCTGTACAGTCTTTTGTCGGTTTTTAGAAGGATTCAAATTGTCAGAAATCTCAGGTACTTGTTTACATTCTTGACTATCACGTTGGATATTCAAGGGAGAGATATTGAAAAAGCCAGTCAGATATAATTATTTGACGCTAGAGATTTTTTAAGTGGGCGTCATTGCAAAATATTTCTTATACGAAACGTCGCTAACACGGCTACGATAAGACATATATTTCCCATAAAAATAGTCAATCCGATAACAACCAATTTCCTCGAAAATTAACAAATTTTGTGTCACTGTCATGGTTTTGCCATTTCACACGAGTGCTTAGCGTAGCGTCCGAACAAGATTGAACGCACGGATCCCTTAAAAATTTAAAAACATAAAATAAGAAATCTATATCAAATACTTTGGGGCAATTGTTTTAATAATCTCGACGTTAGCAAACGTAACAAGTGTGGAGGTCCCTAAATAGTTTTCAACAAATGTAAAATTCCTCTAACATTTCGAACGAGTACAAAAAGGGTTATAAAAAGTTATTCGATTTTTAATCAAAGCTCTGTTTTACCTCATTTTACGACTAATGTATATCAAATTCAAATCAACAGCAGCCAAACGCTTTAAAAAATTTAACTATCAAAAATAATCATTACTCTGTAAATGAAAGATTTGTACTTCAATAATGACTACAAGTTAAAACTTTGGACTGACCCAGACTTATACTATTTTTGTTGAGTTGTATTGAGATTTTAATAATGGATCATAACTTATAAGAAAACAACAGATTATAGAAGTAGATAGAGATAGTGAGAAGTTAGAATGCTTTTACCAATAAAAAAGTCTTTCCCATTTTTTGTTGCCCAACTTGAGTGACGCTACGCTACGCACGAATACACAAATCAGATCATTTTGTACAAATATCACAATCGAAACAAGAACGCAGCGAGCGAATGGAAGGACTGAACGAACGGTAAAATTATTCATTCGAAAATCTTCAAAAAACTATGACTAGCGCACGTTAATACGTATTTGTACCTAACTTATTGAAGAGATTATGCGCGAAGGAAACGAATCGGACGAAGGTCGCCAACTCTGGCTGATTACAAAAATATCTTTAGCCAAAAGCCATTTGTATTTGTCACAAAACATATGGGGAACGAAAGAAACTCGAAACACGGTCGGTCGTGCAGATGCTCGTATGGGCGTTAAATAGCGACAAGTGAAACAAAAAAACAAATTGAGATCAATGAAACGGCCATACGAATATCAGTACGGCGTTTATGAGGCGGTCGAAGCTCGGCGAGTTTGGCCATAGGGCGGTCACGTGACGGAGATATCATGGGACATGAGGGTACCCGGGGCGGGGGCGTTCGTTACTCATGTCCATGATCTCTCCGTAGTAACTTAATAGTCGACGATTCGAAGCATCTCTTAGTTTTACATAGTCGGTTTAACATGGTTAAAGTCCGTAAGTTTCAGTGGAGCGTGTGTTAAAAAAAAATCCGCACGTTAAAATACTTGGTAAAACTAAAAAGGACCAAACTCACGGCAAGTCTAGAGTAAACGATCGTTGGAATTACGAAAATAAATTGATGTCGTAGTTATTTCCATAACTCCCGCGACGGTCGGATGGAGTTTCAAATTATGCGTCCGAGCAGAGCTGCTTGGGGGTGTAGACGGAGGCGTTGGGGTCGAGGGGCGATCCGTCCGAGAGCCGCAGCTTGGAGACCGTCCCCGACACCGGAGTTACAAACTCAGTGGGCATCACGGCGAGCATTTGCGCTTTCAGTTCTTCGATCTCCTTCTCTTGTCGCGATATTAAGCCTGAAAAGAAAACTTATCATGAAGTGATGATGTGTTCACAACGATAAGTGTCGGTGTTACATGAGGACGCTAGAGCCAGAGTAGCCTAACTGCAATTTTTATGACTTATAGTTTAAAAATGTTAATACAAAAGAGCGACCTGACCGAAAATTGATAACATATTGAAAATCATGTTTTTTTTTTGTTATTACGCCACTCTGGCTTTAGCACCCTCATATTATTGTTATTTGTGCTTATTAGTTTTTATTTAACTTTAATTAAGTTAAAAACGAAAAAAATATATACTAGCAGATGAGGTCAAAGGAAACAGAATCCTATGAAGACTTCGTTGTCTGTCTGTTACTAAGATAATAAATGCAAACAAGAAATGTTAACTCGATATTAATAATGGGTAACAGGTAGACTTAAAATAGAAAAATAGGTCACAATATTACTTTTGTATACCTATAGTCTTGTCTATGTTATGGAACACGTAGTGCGCGATATCTACTCGTACTTGATCTGAGGCAAGCATGCGAAACGTCGTTAAAATAATTTCCAAATAAGTTTAATTAATATATATCGCGTTTTAAATCATTAAAGTGTTTTAGGTAAATGTGTACTACTCTCGTAAACTACAGACAGTATTTGATAATTACCTTCCTGTATGTGCATGTGTCGCTTGGCGTCGCCGAGCGCCGAAAGCAGGTCCAGCTTGACCCGGGTCTCGGCCGACAGCGACCGCTCCAAGTGCGTGGCCCGCTCTTGCAGCGCTTGCCAGGCGCTCGCGGCGGAGGCGTTCGTTCGCGAGCAAGCGTTCGCGTTAGCCGCTGCTTCCTCGTGACGCACCTCTAAGGTCCGAACCTGAAACAATAATGGCCACATTTGTATAGGTACTGGGCCTTATTACTATTTTTCGCGTATTGTTTACATGTCATGGCTGGGGGTGTTTCACCCACCATCAAGTGAAGACTACATTTGTGTCTATCTATATAAAATAAAATACTTCATATAAAAACTATTAGTAAATAAATACATTTCTGAAAATATAATAACTGAATGTATTATATCACGTATGTAGAACATACAACACAATAACCTTCAAATGACAACAGTAAGATATAAATGGTACCTGGTCAGTGGCGTGGGCCAGGTCACGCTGAAGACGGTCCGCTCTCTCTCTAACTCTCTGCAACTCTCGCCGCAACGACGCAGCTTCTGCCTCGTGCGAGGTCAGGCGAGATTTGCACCACTCGTTTTCACACTCGCCGCTGAAATGAAGTTAAGAATAAATTAATGATAAACAATAGAAATAGTTATTGTTCCAATAAACTATCAAAAACTAGCTCTTGATGATAAAGAAAATGACGGAATATATATTTTGTTATCCAATCCTTTCCGTAACTCTGTTCATATTTATTTTTGAGTAGCAAGATATGTTTTATGCATAACAAGTATTACCTGTGATAAATAAATAAATGTTGGATGAGTAAAAAAAAAAAAAAAGAAATGGTTAAATCCCAAAATATAATAGATTTTTTTACTCACTTTTTCGTAGTCACGTGATGAAAAGGGAGGGCCCCTAATTTAAACTCAAATATCATAGATGGCGCAGGATTAAACTTTTTTTTTACATTATTTTACGTTTCGGGCCGTTATGACCAAGTTTATTTAAAATGTGTGCTACTTGGTCAAAACTGATGAGCTATGATTACTACGTAATCTCTTTACTATAACCTTTTTCGTCAAGGGATTTATAGCAAAGCTATGATTTGTAAGCAAAAATAGATCTTCTCCGTCTATGTTTTATAATGCTAAGAAGTGCATTATAAAACATAGACGGAGAGATTGCCAAAATGTTGCGTTTTTTTAAGCGAACCATTGCATCTTGCGTGACATAATATATACCTCGAATGTTTGCAATGTGACTGTGCGCGTCGTTCTTCACTCAGGCGTCGCTCATGGGCGGCTCGTTCGTTACTACGCCACGCTGTCATTCTGGAAATGGGCAAATCATCAAGTATTATGACTATTCTTACACTATTAAGCCCACCAGAGCTATAAACTATAAACGCTCTTTACAATTTTAAAGTAATAACTTCTTAAGCTGGGTAAATCCGAATATCCAATGCCAAAATATAGGTTGGGATATTTTACCCACCATCGAATGAACCCACGGTTGTCTGTCCTCTTCTATCATAAGAAAATCGCTTGATTACGTTACGTAATGGCACCACTCTCTCTTAATTTTAAATTCACATTTAAATTCAGGACATCATCTGTCTGAGGCCCGATAGGTAGGCAGAAAATATATTGAAATCCACGGTAAAATAAAATTATATTGTTTTTTAGAGATAAGGACAGACAAGCAATAGGGTCACATGATGGAAAGTTCATTACCTCAGCTATATAGCATGTAAACATAGTGCGCTGTCGACCTACTTGGCTAAAAAAAAAACAGATTAAACCCGAATCAGTGATGACAGTGGTTTACGGGTAATTTGTTATCTAGATTTTGCACACCTTAAAAAAATTATAACTCGTATTTAGAAACATGATGGATCTCGCTTGATCATTAGCCACCAACGAGCCCGTCGAAATTCTTACTTATGCTGTAGCGCCGCGTGCGCATGTTTGAGCTGCGTGTGTTCCGCGCGCCGCTGCCGCTCGTTGGCGGCCGCCGCGGCGAGGGCGCGCCTCGCCTCCGCCTCGCTGCCCCGCACGACGGACAACTCTGCTCTGACTCGCTTCAGCTCCTCGCAGTACTCGCGGGTCACACGCTGTAACAGTGACGTCATTTGAAGCCCCGGATATTACATAAAGTACCACTATAGTATATCGTTGATTTTTTATTTTTTTATTTTATTTGGAAAAGAAACAAACAGTCACTTAAAAAACAATGGATTACTTAAAATGTTAAACAAATAGACCTAAAGTTTCACTTAATTAAATATACGTGACGTAAATACAACAAGATACACAGTAAAAGAAAATATCTAAAAATAATAACAATAATTTTGTAACTACGACTTAAGTATTAATTTAGATATACAAGTTTTGTATTTAAAGATACCACTAGAAAAAATATCGACTGAATTCAAATTCTTATTATAAAAATCACAGCTTCTTATAATGAAACTATTTTTCACGTAGTTAGTGCTCGCTGTGGGAATGTGAAACGTTTCCTTGATGCGGGAAGAAGGGCGGGGGACTTTAAAACCGATTTGCTCGAGGATAGGTATAGAGTCAATACTGCTATGTATTAGTTTGTACAGACAAATAGCATCTAAATAGTCACGGCGTGACCTTAGTGACTTGATGTTGTGTCTGTTGGAACTCAATTCATAATTTACGAAATTCGAACCTGATTTATAATCTAACGATTTTAAGAATTTCTGAAAACACTTTACGCCTGCAAAAGTATTTACACGTACATTTTTTATAGTGAAGAAAAAATTTTAATCCCCTTCCCCCCTCTGTGGTTTATGAGGGTTTTTATTTATAGGAAAATAGTTAATGACACTGCTTTGCCCTGCCCGACCGAAACAATTTATTGCTTACTTAGTGTTCGAACCCGGGACCTTTCATGCTTAAGGCAATGCTAGACAATACTTTAATCATTGAGGTGGGATATTTTCATACAGTTACAACTCAGACAAACATAGTTTTGATGTTCACGATGTCTGCGATGAAATAGAGTAGGTGGTTAGTTGAACCACCTACTCAATTCTATATACACAACACTGTACTCACCTCTTCACGTTCCCGCCTTTCTTTCTCTTTGATTTCTCTCTCCCTTTCCCTTTCTCTGTACTCCCTGTCTTTCTCTCTTTCTCTGTTCTCTCTCTCTCGCTCCTTATCTTTATTACTACAACTATCTCTATGTTTCACACATTCTTTTGTATTTATTTCTAACTCTTTCTCTTTTGGTATATTATTATGTTCTTTTGCTGAAACAACATTGTTGTATAAGAAACATGTCCATGAGTTTGTGTAAGTATATGAATGAAATGAACTGTGTAGGTACTTACAGTTTTCTGTAACCTTATGTATTTCAATACTTTCCTTATCCTTATCTCTATTTTTGTGTTTTTTTCTTTCCTCTCTTATTGAATTAGCCTCTCTCTTTTCACTTTTCGATTTTGTATTTCCTGCAAATATAGCGATTGTAACAACGAGAAAATCACTTAAAAGACAAGCAACTTATCAAGCGATCATATCTGTAAGAAATAGAAAATGGATGAAATAGTCTGCCGATAGCGAGGAGTCACCTGGCCTTCTATTGATCTCCCCAATAGAAATAAATAATATAAAGGAATCATAATATTAATGGTACTAGATAAAATCAAGAAGAGTAATTTCGACCGTAATCTAAAGATGGCTACAAGAAGGAAGGTCAGCTTCGTACGAAAACCTAAGCTTATTAAACATTATAAATGTTTGTCTTCCACCTATAACGGCAATATTTCTTGTAGAAACTGAGTGAAGATGATCAAACTGACAAACCTTTACTGTTTTCATGTTTGTCGTCCTCGTGCGGTGCTCCGGCACCCTTGGCGCAGCCATTTGTGTGTGCGTGTGAATGCGTATGGCTGTGTGTGTGTACACCGCCGTTCTGACTGTGTTTGTCGCGCTCCTTGTGCGCTATGTGCTTATCCAGCTTGTCTATCTGTTAGGGGTAGAAGTATACAGGATGTTAAATACCCAAAATAACTTTTGGAGAGTCAAGTGTAGTCAAGTATTACCTCTATACGTGACAAGTGGGTTTTGCGATATATGATGTAGAATGGGTTACAACAGACGCCCTGAGCCGTTCTAAGGATCCCTAGAGCATCATCAATTCTTCCATTACCAAAACCATTTTCGAACCACACGCAACGGAAACCCTCAAAGAGGAATATTTTCCCCGATTATTCCACATATCCCACTGTATCTTCACTTCTATAAGTCGTAGCGTGATGTTTTGTAGCGTAAAGCCTTCCTCGATAAATGCTTTAGCCAACACATTTTTTTTTATTCGAACCAGTATTTCTAGATTGGCGCGCACAAAAAAACCAAACTCTTCAGCGTTATAATTTTAGTATAGTTACATATGGCCTATTTGTAGTTAATATTGTATCAACTTTTATTATTACTATTGACTTACGTGTTCGCTATGGCATACGCCGTTCTCTTTGACGCAGCGCCGTTTGACGGAGCCGTTCATATGACGCACGTCTGAACTGGTCACGAACTCCATACCATTGCTGGTAGTGCGGTCTTCTTTACTCCCTTGTTGATTCTATAATCAAATTGAAACTTATTCAAAAGGAATTGTAAAAAAATCAACGAGGCACAGCGCCATAAGTTTTTTTTTATGATAAAGGATGACTGAGGTGACGCCAGCCTATATAGCATCTAAACAAGATGCCTACGATCTATTTTGGCTTTGGATATTCGGAAATCCAGACTGAAACGGAAACGTGATTAAACTTCACGGCTTTGTCATCTGTAGACGATGGTTTGTGAACCGGACGGAATCTCGATATTCCTACCACACATTTAATATCCAGATTTCCCAACTAAGTCTAATATGTTTCAGAAAAATTACAAATTTATTAAATACTGTCTATAATCGGGGCGAAGTTAAAAATCATTTTCAAATAAGTTACTAATATATCGCGATATATTAGTAACTTATTTGAAACACTTTAACGGTTTAAAACGCGTTTTAAACCGTTAAAGTGTTTTATTGCTAACATTATACCAACGAGCTTGTCAAATATATCTCATGAGTGACTTGGAGGAAAGGTGATAAACAGCTAGTGATAAGATGTGAAATATGCGTTTTGTACCTTGAGATATTGTACCTGCTCCAGCGCACTCTCTGGTAGCGCATCTCTCAGCAACTGGAAGTAGAACTCGTTCTCCGCTCGAACTTGCCGCTGTCGTCGCTGTCGTAACCGCTGATTTAGATATGACTGAAATTTCAGATATATAGTCAGGAAACGTGATTTCCAGCAAAGAAAAGAATATCATTATGTTCTAAAAATTCCTATACCTGAAGGCTATATCAAAGTAGTAGTTCTTTTTTAAGTAATTGCATGCAATACTTATAAAATCCCTTAGTCGAGTGCTTGGCACTCTCAATGAATAAGGTTAAATCGTATGCAAAACAAAAACTGCTTGCAAAGGGTTATGCCGTTTATCAATATTTAAACGATAAAAATGCGGACACGAAGAAATATGGACTGCACTTAAAGTGCAGAAGTGAAGACTTTAAAATTCAACATGGCGATTAAAGGAGTGGTGGCAAGTCTCGTTCGTTATACGCCCTTGATTTGAGAACTGGTAGTAAATGTAAAGTTAGATCACTCACGTTTTATACGTGTACCTAGTTACCTACGTGAATAAATTATTTTTGAAACAGTAAAGGCAACAGTTTCTACCACCAAAACCAGTCAGGGTAGGTTTTTTTATCTTTTGAAAGATTTACTCATACTGGCTATAGTTTACGCGAGTAGTACACATTTAAATAAAACACTTTAACGGTTTAAAGCGATACATTAGTTTAAAATCATTTTCAAATAAGTTTAACTAATTCATCGCCTTTTAAACCGTTAAAGTGTTTTATTTAAATTTACTCATGGCTAATCACTAGTGTTTAAATATTTATAATATTATACTTCAATATTCTTCACATTCTTTCACATCACACACCTTAAGACCGAACCCAAAGGTCATGGCAGGATATCCAATGCAGTGCGCTGCGAGTGGACGACACAATTCTGGGAGCATGCCTCGACTTCGCAGCGTGCTCTCTGTGTATATGACGAGACAGCATAGCGCTAGTGTCTGTAGGCACACACCTTTCTCTCCAACTATAAAAACAGGATACTGAATTACTAAATATATTTTATAAACTATGCGAAAAACTATTGCGTGTAGTTAATATTAAATAAAACGCTTTTAACGGACTAAAGCGCAAAATGAAAAGTTTATTTATTTGTAAGTTTAACCAAAACTTAAACATTCTGTGATCAGCTGCTGCAAATCATGTGTTGACAGGGAGTAGTTAAAAAATCGGCTTATCCTCTTTTTAAGATCTTCTTCAATGGAAGTGCTTAGAAATAGTAATAAATAACAATAAACCTAATGTATCATATCACTATTAAGAACTATACTTCTATGAAGGCTTATTTATAACATAGTTATTTCCCTAACATTTTTTACATTCATTCTTTAATCATAAACAATGAGTAAGGAGAAAACCTTTGCTTACAATACAACAAATTTTTGCCTTAAGTACTCGTATAAGTGAAATAATAATTGGTCTCACCTGTGCTCCACACATGTTGTACCCAAACATAAGTACCGGCTAAAAAATAGATATACTGCAACGGTATCACAAAAAAGAATATCATGTCTGATATCAGAACCATGCACAAGAATATAATAGTACATGCCTGAAACAACCAAGTAATAATTATTATTTATACATAGTAATTATTTATATGTAAAATAAATATAACTGAATCTGAATTGATTTGCAGCAAAATTGCATTTATGTATGTTTTTATACTGATAAGCTCTCTATAATACAGACAAGATCACAACTAAGTCGACTTCAAAATAAATGTATTAAAATTTCAATAGGGTAGAAGCAGAGAAACATGTTCATGCTGGGACGCAAAAAATTTGTGGCTATAGCTGTTATTGTTTCTACCCAAAACTTCTAATGTAATAACCTTTTGTTATTTTTAATTGCCTTGAACATGTGCATCTGCTTTGTTTTCTAGGAAATAATCTACTCAAACAACAAAAATTTAACATTGTTATATTAGAGCTCATTGAGAAAAAATAAACATAAAAAAAATAAAGTGTTATAAGTAAATTGGTTATATTTCAATTTGCAATTCATTCTCATCAATTTCATTATAAAGAGCTTACACTGTATAATAAGTAGCCACTATTAATTTAGACAACATTGTACTTACAAGGCCCTGAAACTTGAATGAGTCATACAGCGATCTGATTAAAATCCATAATAAATACAAAAACTCAAATCTAAACTCCAACATGTAATCAGCAACAACGATGACAGCCCAAGACATTAGAAATTTCACATATGTTATAGAACTGAAAGAATATATTTATTACAGCATTGGCATGAAATAACAAACTACACTTCTTTGAAATAAAAGTATAAACTAACATAATATATCTGGACATCTAGGCAAAAGGCAGGTTGCATTTATAAACAAGCATGTTGTGACAAGATTTTTTCCTTAAATTTCAAATGAACTATTGTAAATAGTACCTATTTCTTTGTATATTAAAAAATATATTGTGCACTAATGTTGTACAGAATGTTGCTGTACAAAAGAACACAGAGAAAAGTTAATCATATGAAAGTTGTATGTGAGTGGCTGACATATAAATATAATAGAGGTTCACACGTTTTTATTAGTGGCATTTCTTTTTCATTTTTTGTCGTCACACAAGGAGAAACGTGAGCTACGATCGCCAGATGGTTTTACCAACCCACACATTTTCGTACCCCCTACATTTTAAATTAAATCCGAAAAATGTAGTTTATAATATGCACAGAAAAACCATAATAGTAAAAGTGTAATCATCAATGTATCAGCGCAAAAAACGTTTCAACACTCACTTTCCATACATTCCTTCGGGTATTTTTGTGCGCTTTATAGGGCGCCGCATTTTGCCAGATTCGGCATTTCGCCTCTTCATATTTTTTCCTCCACCGTGTAAATCACAACTACAGGCTCCTCTTTCTCAACACTCAAATTCAATAAAACATGTAATGAATTATAATGTTTTCAATGGTACTTTTGTTGTCAATCAGCCTACGTCCTGAATTTACGAGGGCTAAAATTCGGCAAGCTTTTTTGCGTTCACAAATCATATAGCCATAGATAAAGTTGCCATTTGACAATAGATTTTATATGTCAGTTGTCTATATTTTTGAAAGCAATTTGTAAGCTTAAGTCACGGAGTTTCATTTAAAATGTTTATGATATGTAATTTAATTATTATCCTTTTATACTAGCTTAGTAATCCAGTTTTATAATTAAATATAGAGTAATCGTAGGTTTTTATAGGATTTCTCAAGTCGTGGACAACTACGAACTCTTGTCAAATCCTTATGTTAAAATGATGACAGTCCAAAGCCCAAACTTCAAACCTATATATTTCAGAGAAAAATAGAGGGAAAATTAAAATATATAATACATTGAAAAGTTTAATATTAAATACGGATCTTTTATTTGTGTTTATGATAATTATTATGAGACTGATTGAACATGTCCTTAAATTCTACCATTAACGCTGTTAAAGCCTTTTTAGCATCAAATCATATGTTGGTTAACGATGAGTGGTTAACTGGGTAATATTTATCTTTTGTTTACAATTTAATAGTCGTTTACATGTTAAGTTGCTTATTAGCTTTTTATAATTTGAACATGGTCGTATGTAAACCATACGCAAAGAGTCACATACAGTCACACATACTTTACGCTTAATTTAACGTATTGGATTTACACTGTCTTTAATAATTGTAGATGTGTTGAATACTTAAACGAAGAAAGTACATGCACAGAGACTGAAATAAGAAACCTAGCAAAAGAGCAGTGGTTATTAAATGACCTCAATGATATTTGCCCTGGCTCTCTACCAAAAGACTTGAAACACCAGCATAAGATTGTTTTAAAAGGCAGATTTGTACTTCAAATAAATGCTGCTGTCGATATTGGTAAATTTATTTATGTTTTAAATGTTCTTGAGAAAGCATGCTCTCTTAATAAAAACTACTAAATAGCAGGCTTGTTATGGTGAATATATATTTTTCTATTTAATTATATAATTCAATATTATGATAAGCTATAAGTGGAAAGGTATGGGTTGTACTGAAGAAATGTAGGCTGAACATATGGCACTTAGTGTCCCCAAAAGAATATAATTTATATCACTAGATCTTGTCCTTCTTCACTCATAGGTACCAATATAAATAAAAGGCTGAGGCCTTGTATGTATTTATAGGTACCCCAGCTTATCAGCAGTATCTAAAACTACAAAGGATAAATACAGAAAATGTTGAAGCTACAACAAATTTTGAAGAAAAGGTCCCTAATCACAGGTATTACTACTAACAATAAAAAAATAATTAATGTTACGTAAGAAATTTAAAATAAAGGGTACAGAAGTTTGAATAACAACTTGCCTGTAAAAGAAACTAATCAGTAAAACAAACACAGAATTATGTTCACCCCATGCCCAATGGAGAAAAGGGGATTTCACTTATGTTAAAAAAATAATTTTATTTCAGAATGATCAAGTTATACATGACAGATGGTATACAAGAAGTAACTGGTATTGAGTATAGAGCCATGAGAAATTTAAGTTGCGATATAACACCAGGTTGTAAGGTCCTAATTAAGGGTGAGTACTTAGTATACTGTGCCTGCAACTTCATCTGCATATAAATTAGTTTTTATGGGCATCAAAATTTCATTTTGCAAACCTCCTTCTCATCAAATGTCATTTTCATCAGGTCCAGTGGAATGCAGACGTGGTATGCTGCTACTTACTGAAAGCTCAGTTGAACTTCTTGGTGGTGAAGTTCAAGAACTAGCAATATCTAATTCACTTGGTGGTCTATTGTCCACTAAGCTTGGTTTACCAATAGCAGAAAGTAAGTTATTCTAAGTTAGTAAATGTATTATTCTTCCAAAAAATTATTTATTACTACCATCTAAACACTACAATGACATGTTCCAGGTATTATAAATATAACGTTGTATAAATTTTTGTTATTATATTCTCAGATTCAAATTTAAGCACAACAGTGGCTTTGGGAAACACCCACATTCCATCTCCTCTTGCCCAAGTACCATCAGCCCAAGAAGTATCTGTAGAACCAAGAAATGAATACACAACTCGTCCGATTGCTAGGGTTACAAGTATTCAAGTTGCTCATAATGATGATGACGATATTGATATTGACCAAATTGCTGCTATCGAAGAAGAATTAAGTGGAACATCCAATAGTTCAAAGACAAAAACTATTTGTCAAAACAAAAATGATGTCTCTATAAAAAGACCTAGTGACAGCTTTGACTGTCAACCAGAAAAGAAGTTTAAAGTAAACAATACCGATGATTATCCAGATGATAATGATCTCATATTCGAGGATGAAGACTACTTGAGAGAAATGGAGGCCAGCTTCGATAAAAAAGAGATAATGATTAAAAATCACCAATCTGATATGCCTTTGGAGCCATTTATTTATATTAAACAATTAAATGAATTGAGTAACCATGAAAAAGTAGGACGTATGTTTAAAATAAAAGGGCAGATAATGAAGTTATTGTCGAAATTGTCTGTTGGAAAAGATGGATGGAGTTTGAAATGCACTCTGGTAGATGGCAGCGGTGCTATAGATGTAGAATTTACTAGCGATGTACTTTCAAAATTGGTGGGGCTAACGCCACAAGAAATGACAGATATAAAAAAAGAGATTGTCAATAGACCTGAATTAAAAGAAAAAGCAGTCAAGGTGAGTTTCCTAATTTCATCTCAATTCAATATAGTTATATTTGTTTTTACAATTTCATAATTTTATTTATAGGCTCTACAAAAAGCGAAAGATACACTTCAGGTTTTGTATTGCATCATCGAATTAACTATATTTGACACACCTAGAATCACACAATTAATTCCTTTTGGACAAGAGCATATCCATCCCTTGAAGAGAAGACAAAATAAAACGTTATTTTAAAAAATAATATATATACGAATAAAGTGAATTCGCATTCTACCTTCTCTTTTGCTTGTGATACTCTTTCGTTAAAATTAAACAAAAATATAAACGAACTTTTTAATACACTTTTAACATAATGTATTATTTAGTATACAAAGTAGTAATATCTGTATATTCATAATCAATTCTGTCACTTGTAACGCACACAATTCCGTAATTAGTGAGGCTCATTTTAATAAATTAACGAAATAATTAAAACTGGTTGACAAATAAAACTGGACTCATCCTAGCCTAGCACCAAATAAGCAGAAGATACTAAAAAAACAATTTAAATTAATAAATGATTTCCAATAATTCCTTATAGTAACATGTAATAAATCGGTAATATATAAAACTCGCATTCTCCAGCTGCTTTCAAGGAAAATATAATATTGTATAGCAATGCATTTAAGTTTTACCCTAATAGTGGCTAAACATATTCAAATACTAAATACTGTCTATAGTTTACGCGAGTAGTACACATTTAAATAAAACACTTTAACGGTTTAAAACGCGATATATTAGTAATCTTATTTTTAACTTCGGCCCGACGTTTCCCGAATCATCCGAAACGTCGGTAAGTTTAACTAATATATCGCGTTTTAAACCCTTAAAATGTTTTATTTAAATATTCAAAAACTATTTGAAGAGCATATGGTAATAATAATTATACAAGGGTAGTAAACATATTTTAAAGTAAAGAAACATTACTTTAAGAAATACTATTTTATTATGATGATAGTTAAGCATAACATACACATTCATTATAATAGAATAATGAGCGAGGGTGATAATATGGAAATAAAGATAATAAAAAAGCAATAAATACAATTTTATATTTAGAACTTGACACTCAATGGAAGACCAGACCGTCTACTAAAAAGTAATAAAACAACATCAAACCAAGACGCTTAAACAAATTTAAATTAATTTTCCAGAAATATAATGAAAATACTTTCAGAGAATAATACATGATGAAGAAATGGCGGGTAAACTACTACATGTTTTTAGCATAAGGAAACCGTCTACAAATATATTGCGAGAACTGAATGCAGAAACTAGAACTTTTCGAAGGTGGTCAGAGAAATTAGTCGTTTGAATTAGCTAAGAGCGTGAATTTTCGGATTCTGTGTATGGAGAGGCCGATGAGTACATGGTTTTGCAAAATTACTAGTGTGTTTTTTAGTTTGGAAACTATTCAAAACATCTATGCGTTCTGACAAATGGAACTAAATCATATAAATATTTATTTCACAAGAAGTAATTAATGAAAGAGCTTAAGTTACATGAATTAACAACGTAAATAATGAAAATTATCGAAATCTATATACAGAATGTCTTTAAAACTTAACACATCTTACGCTTTCCGACTTAATGTCAGTCTTCCACTTAAATGCCATTCATTCCCTTCCGTAGGCCGTCGAAGATTTACAAAATTCTTTCGTAAAATAGCAGATACGCTTGCGCCCTTAATACTTTCTCCTCGGAAACTTCGGACACCATACTGTCGGAGACGTAAAACCACCGTCCGGACGGCGCTTCTGCGCTCGGTGTGGTCCCCTCGCCGGACTCGTATCCCGATAGATCGGACTCCGAATCGACGTCGCCGTCCCCGCTTCCTGATGCGGGTATATTTGCGCTTTTAGGCAAAAACCACCACCTCGGATCGTCTCTTTTGACCGCCTGACGCACCTTTACATAGGCGACGTAATGCCCTCCGTGCATGCCCCCCGAATGCTCGACGATTCCATATAACGAATAGAGCAATTCGTTTTGACCTCGACTGACGTTCGGAAGCTTTTTTAATTTATCCATAGCGCAGAAAGGAGCTAGATCTAGTATAGTCGGGAAGTCGACGTGTTTCGACATTTTTCTAAACATGCACCGCGGACCGATTTGAAATCTCTTTAAGTGCAAGATGAGGATAGCCGGGGGACTCGACACGAGGAACCGCTTCGACGCGTTGGTGTACACCATTTTGCCATTCTTTCCGTTAACTCTTTCAGTGCACGTATCACAACTGACTTTGTTGTTGTCAGTCAGTAACTCGAGAGCTGTGAAGTTGCTGAGGCAGGATTGAACGCTACACTCGTCTTCGTCGCAAACGTATCGCGGTGACAAAGGGCTCTGACGGGAAAATTGCATGAAATCGCGGCTAGCACCACCCAAATTTCGCTCTGGCTCCAAATTATAGACCTTCGGCCGAGGCGCTGTCGGAAGAACGTCGATATGATCCGTAACAGGGGACGGTAATGTTGGCTTCGGTTTTATTTCATCCATGTCTAGTTTCAGTTTTTCTAACTTGTTAGCGACATCTTGGTTATTAATGTCATTCTCTGGAGGACTAATGGAATTAAACTCCCAGTTGTTCTCCAAGAGGTCCTTGCCAGCCTGAGTACTTATGCCACGAGAAACAACCTCATTTGAATATTCCGGTGCAAACGAAATTCTGGAGACTGGTCTTTCATATTCATTCTTGCCAGGTGATAATTTGTGTAATGGGCTTGATAAATCCAAATTGATTTCACTGGATAAAGAACTATGGCTTCCTAATTCCTTTCCATTTATGGGTGAGTCTACATTATCAACGGTCTCTGTTGAATTGTGCTTGGTTGCATCTGGGCTTGCAACACCTGAATCTGGATTCGAAAAGTTCTCTATTGGTCCCAAAGGTTTGTAATCAAGTGGTCCAGTAGAGGTAGCCACTTGAGTAAATTCTTTATCCTTATCAGTTGACTCAGGGGTATTGTCAGTTTTTTCCTTATCAAGTTCAGCTGGGCTATTCCCTATTGAATCTGAGCTAATTACCTTTTCAGAGTTATAGCCTGACTCCATGTGATATGCAGCAAAATTTGCTGCAGTGTGAACAAGAGCAGACGCATTTGTAGGTGCCTTTCCAGCTCCATTTTTGGGGAGTTCCTCAAGGTTGTCCTCTATGTCTGCATCTGATTGTTCAGAAGATGACTTACCATCTTCCTTGCCATTTGCTTCTGTAGCTTTGTCCTTAGTACCTAAAAAGATTAAATACTTTATTTACTTGTACTTAGTGATATAAACAAAATATTGCTTTTGTGATCAAGAAATATGAGTAATAGTTTTAATTACTCTTACTGTTTTGTTATAAAACCCTTACATTGTGAATATTAGACTTTTGTACTCTGTATGATCCACTAACGGGCCTTTTTATAAACAAATAAAAACTTCTTACTGCAAAGCAAATTTGTAAGAACTTAAATGTTTAATGCAAACCTTTATTCTTCCTAGGTCCCTTTTTTGCCTTTTTTTTGAGCTGATGTTTTGATAGTTTGGATTCATCTTGCTGAATACATATATTTTCATCTGTGAGAAAAAGTATTTTTGTAGACATATAGGGTAATCCTTTAAAGTGCTGAGTTAAAATAATCGTTTGAAGGGGACACGAGGAGAGTTGGATAACCCAAAACCTCTGCAAGGAGGTAATGGGGAAAAGGGTAAAATGATCGGCGGATAACGTGGACTGATCACCCGTCCTGCCACGGGTGTCCCCAATAGAAAATAATAATAAAACAATCGTACCATTAGTTCTTCTCCTCGTTAATGCTGGTGGTTGAGGCCTTGAGGTAGCTACTGGTAAAGATAAATCAAGAAAATATTCTGCTCGATCTGACTGTTGGTAACAGTCCTGACACTCAAGGGTAGACACTAGGAAACCTCGGAAAACCTGCAATCCATATTCGGTTGTAAACTGAATTAGGAAAAATAAATATTGAAATTATTGTTCTTTAGTTTTAATTTATTTAGAGTAAATTCCTTTAAAGTAGAGTGAAATATTTGAGTAGTTGTGATGGCTACTGGCAATATTAAATTCAAAATAATCTCTATAAGGTAAATACCTGTTCAGGTCTCAACATAGTATCAGATGCCTGCTGCCCATAGAATTTAACTTTCTGTTTTACCTCGCCATCTACTTTAGCCGGGTCTACTTTAGAGTTAATGCCAAGACTACTTAAAATAACTGATTGGTAACGACGAAGGTCCTCTGATCTAAAATAAGAAAATACTTTTTAACAGCTACTTCATATTTGGTTACACTGTTAATCTTAGATGATGTTTTCTTATATACTTTCCATTTATTTAACTTATTTGGTGAACCTTCTTATCAAAGTATTATATCATAATTTGATTATAAATTACAGCACTAAGATAAAACAACACACTCTTATCAAATTATCCTTGACTCAGAATGTCACACAAAGTAAAATACTTTATCTGCTCTATTACTACTACCGTTACTGCTGATACTTTCTTATAGATATCACTAAAAATATTAGTACATGTTTGTAAACATTTTAGAATTTATTTTGCACATCATATTAAATATATCTCGTGCATCATATATCAATAAAAAATGCACCTCACTGCTTCCAGTAAATGTCGCAACAATTCATGAGAGTCATGTTGATCCCCACCACCAAATTGTGGCAATTTGTTGACTAGAGCAGACAGAAGTCTACGAGGAGTATACACACCACCTTCTCCTGAAAAATATATACAAATAGGTATCTAAAAGCCAATTGATGTTCCTTAAAAATGAAATGTGATTTAGTTAGCTAATGTTATTTTAATAGTGCATTTTTTAGTAAACATGAACATTTTATTTTACACTAAACTTTAAAACACTTAAAGCAAAGTTCATCTCTCCAGTAATATGGCACAAGCTATGTAGGTTAGCTATAAATAATATCTATTAAGACCAGTTGGATATAGATGTTTTATTTTAGTTTCCTAAAACTAATAAATGGGGTTTTCTTTTGTTGTTATTATATTTTTATCTTATATTTGAAAGTAGATTTAGACTTGGCTCATACTATATAAAAACTTTTAATAATTTGTTTAATTTAGGGATATCGTTTTTCATTAGTCAAGCTTATTGTAATAAAATTCAATATAATTTAAAATAATAAAATCTAAATGTACCTGACTGTAACTCAGCAAGGGTTTCAGCTAATGTCTTTGTTAATGTACCCCACTCTCCAAGTTGTCCAGTGATGGGAGGAAGGTCAACCTCTTTTCCATCTTCACCGTTTTCTCCTTTTAATTTGAGCTTTCCACCAGGTAGAGTAAATCTTTCACCTGGTATGGACATTTCTTGCAGGACATCTAACAAATATGGTGTCTGCACTAAACATTGCATTACAGAGTTAAAGAAACAGGTGTTTCCTAGATTTGATAGGCCTCTAACTCTAGTCAAATTCATAGAAGCTGTTTTCTCTTTGCCCTTATCAGTTTTAATTATATTCTCTACAGTCACGGGGACATCCATGTTCTTATTTGGGGGATCTAGGAACAATTCAATCGGAGGTAATCTAGGATTGCCATTAGCCTGTTTCTTAAGGTACTCAATACATTCATGTAGCTTTTTAGAGGTAGACGCTGTAACTTCATTATTACAATTGTAACAGTAAACCTCCCATGAAGTTGTGTTGGCCGTAAGAGCATGGCAGTCTGAGTGCGGTGTGTTGAAATGGTTAAGAGCATGTTTATTACGCGCTCGGCCGCATAATTGGGTTCCACATCGCAAACATATCCACAAGGTTAAATCTATCTCAAAATTTGGGTCATCAGCCTCAGTTTTAGGATTTTTCTTACACTCAGCACATTCCTTCTCGAAACCATTCGTTTTTAGAGCTCTCTTCAACTTGGCAAGATCGACGGCCTTCGCAACGTGAGGACAAATGGATTTTACAGTCTCGTCGCAGGATTCAGTCGATTCATCACCGTTCTCGGTCGGATCGCTCTGTCTCTTTTTTTTCACCATTCTGAGAACTTAATTTGGGTTACGCACCGCCTGCAACGTAATCAGATACAGGCTTTAAGAATAACTACACGAACACAAAAAGAAGAATTTGACAAATCGTCCATAGCCATTGCACGCATGACAACGCACATTCAATTTAAATTCATGAGGTTAGAAAACATTTCAAACGATCGTTATGTATAATTGATGAATGAACTTACAGTTACATACGACGAACAAAGTAAAACGTCACTTATAATGAACACTAAAATGAAATTTTCTTTCGTCACTACAGTAAATCACAGTTGTCGGACATCTTGACAGAAATTAGAAATATTAGAATTGACAGATGCCAATCCCGAACAAAGCTTAAGCAAATGAACACAGCAAAGTAATGCGTAGCAGCTAAAACAGATATTAAACTATATAGATTATATAATATATGTCATAGATTAAACTAAAATGAATTTGTTAAATATTACTTTATAAAACCTAAAAAGGTAGACTACCGATAAATTAAGCCAATTAGAAATGCAGTGGTAACAGGCCTTAAAAATATCTTAGAAACTTCGGTACAACTAAATGTTCAGAGGAAAATTAATTAACTCGGATATATGCCATGGTCAAGACGTTAAATGTATTTTTTTAACATAAAATTTACACAAGTTAAAGTATATGCATTGATAAAAGATTGTTTTTTATTTATTTCAAAATATGCAACAAAAAACAACTTTTAAGTATCATCGAAAATTTTTATCGATCTCCGTTTATTACACCTTTGTAGCCCGTAACAACAATATAAAGTTTTTAAGTGTTTTTTTAAATTAAAATATCGAGTTATTTTAGTTTAGCCGATGTTATCAAAATACATACAAAAAATATATAAAACAGTTTGTCATGCACAGGAATCAATACCTTAAATTTTTATAATTATTTTGTGTACAAAGTGACGAATATTTGTTTGTATAATCTACATTTTTGTTTATTATTTTATTTAGACAGAAAAAACTGCATTTGTAAAAAGTTTTTAAAATAATTTAGCTATAAATAAACTAACTTTGTACTGACTGTTCATCTACATTAAAGTCATGTTGTCAGCTGTCAATGACGATATCAGAAATCAGAATTATGTGTTCTTTCTAATTTATTGAATGTTTTGTGAGAATTTCATCACAATTATTAGTGATAAAGTGCTGTATGTGTACCCAATTAACCGACGCGTAGACATGGTATTTCAAAATATGTAACTGTTAATCGAAGTGTCAAAAACAGATGACCTGGACGTTGTCGATAGATCTTCGATAAAATTTCTCCAAAATGTCTCTACCGGGTAATGGAATATTCGTTGTGCAGGGCGAGATGGCCATGTTGGTCACCGCAATGCGCAGAAGTACCCGCTGGGGCTCTCATTCCTTCCCCAACGAAGAATATGATATGCTGATGCGAACCTTCCAAGACCTCAAGATAATATTGAACCAAATGGACGATTTACGTCTCCTGGACCCTGCAACGTACCTCAGTCCTTTTCTAGAAGTTATACGAAGCAAGGAGACCACTGGACCTGTGACAAGCCTGGCACTATCTTCAATACATAAATTTTTGTCATATGGGTTGATTGGTAATTACATTCTCTTTGTCTTATTAAATTTTTCATAACCAGTTCATATAACTGAATATCATCTTAGTGATGATATGTTACCCTTATCTCATATTATTTGCTATATATTTTTCACAAGTAGTGTAATAATTGCATAATTCTTATAAGAAATTATATATATCTAATATTGGTAAAAATTTCAGTTTAATATTTTTTCTTTCATATTATATTTGTAACATAATAATAGAACTTATATAAATTCATTCATGATATATGTGCGTAATATAATGTTTTATATTAAATTAAGACCCAACACATCCAAGTGTACCTGCAACCGTTGAGGATATTGCTGATGCTGTCACTCATGCCCGGTTTGTTGGTACAGACCACTCATCAGATGGTGTTGTTCTAATGAAAATATTACAGGTAAGATTAAAATTTAATTTCTTATTATATTTTTTTGTAATTGTTGTAAATAATGGTTGTTTATAGTATACAATGTAAGTACTTGTGTTTACCCTTAAAGCTTATTGTGAATATTAAATGGTGAGTTAATCAAGTGCCTTTTCAATAGCCAGAAATAGAGTATGCCCATGTTATGCATGTGTTACTTTATATTACATACTATGCATAGTACTTCCACTTAAAATGTATATAATTAGTACTTTTAATGGTTATCTTCAGGTTTTGAGAACACTAATGCTGAGCCCCGAGGGAGCTATGCTGACTGATGATAGTGTTTGTGAAATCATGCTCAGTTGTTTTCGAATTTGTTTTGAAACAAGACTAACAGGTATGGGATATTGAATATATAAAATTCTCCTCTGATGAATGAATTAATAATTGTAAATGTCTTAAAAAGTAAATAACATTACTTTTTATTAGAGCTCCTTCGACGTAATGCTGAACAATGTCTTCGTGATATGACACAGCTGATTTTCATGAGACTTCCTCAGTTCTCTGCAGAGGATAATAACACATTCACGACCGTAGGTCTATCGCTTAAGAGAAGGGATAAATTGAATAAGAAAAAATCCCTTACAAATGCTTATAGTGAGTACTTAAAATTTTATTGGTTTACCAATTTAGTATTATTTTGCAACTCTAATAATTTTAGTGAAGTTCTGAATACTCCCACTAGATGTCGCTACTATTTATATGAAACACGCTTTCAAAATATTCTTATTAAATATATTGGTTGGTATGTGTGTTCACTGGTTTAAAAAGGGTGTTTACCGCTTTGATGGTACGTGCGCCGACATCGGTGCGCGGGGTATGGTCATCAAGACATACCCAACACATAATTTTTGTTTTGGCGGGGCTGTTGGCTACCCTTATGTACCGGCGCCTCCTTTAACCAATTATTATGATAACCGCTTGTGCTGTTGACCTATTAGGCCGTTGGACATTCGAAAACGTGGGTTAAAATCGGAGCCGTAATATCAAAAGCCAAAATAGGCCGATAGCACATTTCATTGAGATGTTACATGGCTAGAATATTGCACCTTTTATAAAGTGAATGCTTGTTTTCGTCTATCAATAAGACTGAAATAGTTTATATATTAAGTATTAAAATTTTATTTTGGATGGCCTTGTTGATTTGTTGCTACTATGTTTGGCATTAAGCATGTCTATTTTAATTAATTTATATTCTATTGAACCCAATGGGAAACAAATCCATGACCTGTTGTTTATTAGTTTCCATTAACAAGGTCTAAAAATACCTATAAACTACTTATTTCCTTACATGTTCCCAATTACCTCTAACATATGATTTCTTTTTAGGTACAAATTCTTTAGACAGGAAATCTCCAGTTACAGAGGCTGTGCCTTGTGAAGTTCAAACAGATACAGATGTAAACAAAGCTCCTACAGTTATCAGGCAGAAGTAGGTTTTTAACACTTAAACGGTTTAAAACGCGATATATGTTAGTTAAATTTAATTTCCAAAAGTTAAATTAATATACTGTAACGGTTTAAAACGCAATATATAGCCGTTGAATTTAATTTCCAAAGATGTTGTTGTTGTGATGTTTTATATATTTCGCGTTTTAAACAGTTAAAGCGCTTATTTAAGTGTGTACTCGCGTAAAAACAGACAGTATTTATATTCAACATTTACACTATCAGCCCTTTATTAGATCATACTACTAATGGGCCTTGGCTCTTCTAGAAGACTATATCTACTACTCCGATGTACCTAACAAAAATACTTAAAAATTTGAATGCTTCTTCCAAGCACATAATCCGGGTTTTCTATCTGTGGCACGATTTTGGGATTCGAACTCCTGACCTCACGATAAAAACTTAATTGCATGGATCTTCTATAATAGCTAATAGCGTAAAAATCACCCTTTTTCAGTCAAGGCAAGCACGTCATAAATGAAGCTGAGATCACGATAGAGCCAGCTGAAAATCGAAGCACTAAACATGGACGTCATTCGTCAATGGATCTTGCTAATGGAAACACGCCTATTAATCAGCTACTTGAGAAATGTGTCAGCAATTCACAGAGTGCTGAGAAAGAAGAAGAAACAAAAGAAGCGGACACAAAAGAAGATACAGTTCAAGGTAAAAGTAGTTTAGTAATTCAATATTGTAGTCTCTACTCTGTACTAATATATAAAGCTGAAGAGTTAGTTTGAACGTGCTAATCTCAGGAAATACTGGTTCGAATTCAAAGAATATTGTTGTAGTAGTGAGAGCATTTATTGAGGAAGGCTATAGGATATAGGCTAAAACATAGCGTTGTGACTAACAGGTGCATAGAAATAGCGGGAAATGTCTAAAAAACGGAGAATATTATTCATCCCTGTGGGTTTCTATTGCGTTCGCTGCGAATGCGGTTTAAGGTACTCAAAAATATATATAAAAGAATGATTCCCCCTTAAATGATATAAAAAAGGGTACAACCGCGTATGTGTGAGTCGCGTGAATCAGCTCGTTTAAATATAATTCATTTACATACGGGATTACAGCATTTTCTAGTTCGATTTATTTCTTCACTACATAGTAGAAAACTAATTCATTTTCTGTCCCTGTGTAAGCTTAAATCCTTAAAACTACGCAACGGATTTTGATGCGGTTTTAATAGATACAGTGATTCAAAGAGGAAGGATTTTTAAATACGTAACGTTCACAGTTTTTCTGTAGTATATTCAGTAACAGTATTGCACCCGAGCGAAGCCGTGGCCGGTCGCTAGTCTATTGCAATTGGAGTTTCAAAATACATTTGTTCAAACGTCATTTTATTTTATAGCTGAGGTTACCGAGCCTTGTGAAGAGACAGAGATGGTGAAACAAGATGTCGCCGCTGAAGAGAAAGTCGAAGAGTACGTGAACCATCGTGGCATCCGATTTACAGCTCAAGACGACAGCATGAACTTACAGCCCTATGGTCTCACTTGCATACGGGAAATATTTAGGTAAGTCAATTATTATCACATCAAAGATTCTTTATTATGTTTCTGTATAGATGGTGCAGGTAGAGAGTCCCTAGTCTCCACGTTAGGGAAAGCCTGTATCGTGGGTGACCAGTCTCTGCCAGGTTACCGACAATAAATAAAAATATCTAAGCTAACTTATCTCTACTTACAATTAGTGTCTGTTTGAGTGAATATTTGCATATTGTGTGTGTTAGTGTATGAGTAAAGTGAGTGGATTATTATATTAATAAAAAATCGACTTCAACCGGTATCTGAGCTACACGTCATCGTCGATTTCTTTTAACCTATCAATACGTGCACATCTCACGCAATGTAATTTCAACCTTAAATCTGGCGTAATAAGATTAAATATCTTATGCTTTGCAGCTTACAAAAATGATTAATCAAAAAATAAAATTACAGAGTTTCAAAAAGTCCAATATTAATAATAATAATTATTATAAATATTGAAGCTGCATTGGGGGCATCCCTGTCAGGGCTTCGTGTATTTAAATTAAATAAGTAATAAATATGTCGAAAAACCTAAAATTGAATTTTAATAGTGCCATCATGAGCACTAACATGACAAACATTGACGTATTTCTTCAAAAACGTTTTCTTGTTTCAAAGTAAACGGTATAACATGTATTTGCATTTCCAGGTTCCTGATCTCCTTGTGCAATCCATTAGATACACAGAACACTACGGCGATGGTCCACTTGGGGCTACAACTGGTGGGCACTGCTCTGGAGGTCTCTGCTGATCGGTTGTCTCAGTATCCTTCACTGCTTTATTTGGTCAAGGATCCTCTGTGCAGGAACTTGTTGAGCGTGAGTATTAATTATATTTTCTCAAATTTTGACAGTCCAAGGCCGTAGTTGCTTTTTCATTGTATTAAAACATGACATAGCATCTGATCTCTATTGTAAATTAAAACACTTATCATCATATATAAACTAGTCGTGCCAGTAACTTTTTGTCCGCGTAGAATTTTTGGTATCCCCATTTTTGCTGTTTCCTCATTCCTGTTAGTCACGGCGCAATGTTATAGACAAATATATATAATATCTTTCTCGATAAATGCTCTAACCAGTAGTTCCTGAGATTAGCGTGTTCAAACAAACAAACTCTGCAGCCTTATATATTAGTAAAGATAGATTATGACGAAAAGCATTAATGTTTTTACAGTTATTGGACACAGAGAGAATATCAATTTACGCCCTCGACCTTCAAATCTGGTTCCTCTTGTTCGAAGCCCTCCGCATACACCTCAAATTTCAAATGGAAGCGTTCTTCAAGAAAATAATCGAAATAGTCTCCACGGACACGACCAAAGCTATTTACGAGCTGAAAGAGATCCACCACATCACATTGGAAAACTTATCGCAGATGCTGAGGATACCAGGGTTGTGCACGGAGTTGTACTTGAATTTCGACTGCGACGTCTATTGCATGAACGTTTTCGAGGAGTTGACGAAGCTGCTGTCAAAGAACGTGGTCTCCTCCACGGCTTATAACATCCATTCGTTGTCTTTGGAAGTCATGATGACGATTATCGAAGCGATCGAGGTCGGTACAAGTCAGAAAGAGAAGGAGGGTAGTATTATTGAGGAGAGAGATGTGGGAGAGTTCGACCGGGGCGGTCACGTGACTTTGGAATTGGGCGGGCTGGATGACGTGTCCGTGGTCAGTGACCACGTGACGCACGATATAAGCCATTACTTCGGCGCAAGAGTGGGAAGGCACAAACCAACCATGGATTTACCCACGGAAGCCGAATTAGATAACATAAAGAATTTGAAAAAGGTAACACATTGGTCCATATGAGTAGTTTTATAATAACTTTGTTCGTGTATGTTCGTTTATGTTCTAGCGCTTAAAGTATTTAACCTATCGAAATAAGGTTTGTAAAACTGTTTTTAAATATACCCGAGAAATAATATGTAACGGAACAACATAAGAATGCAAAAAATTAATTCAATATGCATTTATGCCTGGTATTAAAGGTTTTAAGTGGCGTGGTTGTGGGTGGTATATAATATGGGTCTAAAATGTTATGTTTCTACTAAAGAGCGCAATAGGCCGCCTTATCGCTAACAAGGTCGCAATCTCTTCTAAGCAAACTAATATTTAAGAGAAATATAGAGAATAATAAGGTGTGCAAGGTCAAACCTCAATACAAAACAAAAACAAAACTAAAGATATCTAAAAAAGGTTGCTATAACTTTGTTGGCAATTACAGTGGGTGACGCAAGGCACGGAGCTTTTCAACCAGAAACCGGAGCGCGGCATTGAATATTTGCAGGAGCACGGCGTACTGGCGACGCCCTTAGTGCCATCCGATGTTGCCGCTTTTCTCAGGGAAAACCCGGACCTCGACAAGAAAATGATTGGTGAGTTGGTATTTTATGCTAACACAATACTGAATACATAAGTATAACTAATTTTATGATTCATATACGGTATGAGATCGCCGCCATACCGTACCGTAGTGCTTAAGTGTACGTCACCTAGCATAACCTTAAATCCGAGAGGTCCTAGGTTTGACTGGTTTGTTTGGTTTCCAACTAAGTTCTTGCCTGTGAATAAATAACGACTAAGGCAGACACATGTGCTCGCGTTTTAAAGTATTATTTAAAATAGCGAGGAACGCATAAAAAACCTCATCAATGATGGTGATCTTGAAGTTTTTTGGTAAAGCACTCGGTTTAAGAAATTTTTTCAATTTATTTTCGATTAAAAAAAATTGTATCAGGTTTTTGTATCTCACTTGCCTATTAAAAAGAGATAAGGTGATTACAGACTATGTGTTGACAAGCACTTAAAATGCATACATTTATATATTGATAAAAAATGATCTCGTTTTAGGTGAATATATATGTAAGCGTTCTTCCCGCGGTGAGGACGACGATGGCCCGAGTGTGCTCAGCGCTTTCGCAGACAGCTTTGACTATTCGCGACTTCGCATTGAACAAGCGCTACGTCTCTACCTGGAGACCTTCCGACTGCCAGGGGAAGCCCCGCTTATCTTCCTGGTCATGGAGAAGTTTGCTGAACGTTGGCACGTAAGTGTTCGATGTTAATGTATTCCTTATGCAAAAATAGCTTTCGATACAGGATTTTAGCACAAGAACATTGGTTTTCAATTTGCCACATACATAATTGTTTTTTATTCATACGGTTTTACATCTTAGTCCTTAAATATTCAGTGTTTCTACTATTCTTTTTATTTTAAATAATATTATTTATTCAGACGACAAACGGATGTCCTTTCGCCAATACGGATGCAGCATTTCGTCTAGCCTACGCAGTCATCATGCTGAACATGGACCAGCACAACCATAACGCCAAGAAACTCAATGTTCCCATGACTGAAGAGGACTTTGTCAGGAACTTGCGCGGCTGCAATGGTTCTGGAGACTTTCCTACGGAGATGCTGAAGGAAGTCTTCCATTCTATTAAGTAAGTATACAAATGTATTTATGAAATTGTCCTAATACTTAATTATAGTATGTTTAAATATAAGATTATGGAAATATTTTTATTTTGAGAACAGGAAAGTACTAATATATAATTGATGACACTAATGAGATTCGTACTCGAGACTAACAGCGTAGCGTACTAATATACTAGTAATTCGATTTTAACACTGGGTCACTTTAATTACGACCTTAACATTTCCTAGTAAGGCTCATTATCCTCTGTTCTTCAGCTCTGAAACTATTTTATGCGTTATTACTTTACTTTTTTTACCTCAGTCACAAATAGATAACCAAAAATAATAACTAAAATAGAAAATTATAATTTTCTATTTTAATCTATATTAGTGACGGCGTCCCTTTCTCCTTTGTGAAGCATATGGCAAATATATTACTGTATCCTTACTGTTAATATATTACTGTATACTTTGTTTTTTTCAGAAATGAGGAAATGGTAATGCCAGCGGAACGCGTCGGACCCGTTCGCGATGCGTACTTGTGGCGCGTGTTGCAACGGCGAGGCAAGACGGGGGCAGCAATCTATCGCCTAATCCCGCCCTTCCATCCCCACCATGCGAGACTTTTGCCCATAGCTTGTCCACCAGCGGTAAGTTATGGCTTTCCTGCTCGAGGGAAAATTTAATAATAATAAAATTATTATTATCGGGATGGTAAAATAAATGATCCCGAATTTTTGCAAACTAATTATAATAGTTCTTGAAAATGTAGCTTTGTATGTGATGTCCAATTGTTGTAAAGTAGATTTTGTCTTTAGGTTACAGCTCTATCAGCAGCATTCGAAAGGTCAGTTCCACCGACACCAGAAGAGATCGAATCCAATGCCCGCGATAGCAGCGCGCTGATCTCTCTCAACGGACTTGAGCGATGTGCTGCTCTGGTGGCAAGGTTGCCCGCGGACACTCTCACCATAGATACGCTATTGCTGACTCTGTGCAAGTTCACTGGTCTGTTGTCGCCGCAACACGCCTCTTATATCGCCGTTGGTAAGTCCATCTTTCCTCTTTTAAGCTAATCTGGGGGGCAATTGTAATATATTTACTTAAAGTCAATTTTGGTTATTTGGATTTTCTAAAAAGATTACAGTCAAAGTCAAAAGTAATTTAATCACGTAGGTAACTAGGTACACTTATGAACGTCCCATCAGTAAGAACTAAATACTCTTAATTTACATATACCCTACCTCTAGTTACCTCACTCACACTTCTTAAATCCAGGGCGTAGAACGAACGTGATGAACTGGCAAGAAACTCACCGCCTCTCCTTTTATCAGTAGAGTTGAAAAATAAATGTAGTTATCGGTGTTTAGATTGAAATAAAGTACTTTAACAGTTTAAAACGCGAAATATATACAATTATTTTAACTACCGTCCGACGTTTCGGATTTCTTGCAGCAGCCGTGATCACGGAGAGACAATTTTAACTAATATATTTCGCCTTTAAACCGCTGAAGACTTTTATTTAAATGTGTATTGGTGTTGTTTTTTTTTTCATTTGATTTCGTAACTATATCTGTACTCGCCTTTAGCCAACAAACACATCATAACTATGGTATAATTAAAACTTTCAGGAGTATCATTAGGACAGTCAAGTAAGGCGCAATTAGCGCTGAGACGCGCGTGCGCAGTTTGGGCTCGCCATGGAGAATGTGTGCGTAGCAGTTGGCGACATCTGCTGGAAATCACCAATACCCTATACATAGGGCGACTGTTGCCGAAAGTATGTTCTTAATTTTAACTTGCTTCTTCTTAAAAAAGCCATATGTGGAATAGTTCGATAGAAGATGTATGCGTTACCTATCTGGCATAGTAAATGGCCTGTGGGTTCGATTCCTATGTCACGAACCACCGTGCACAGATGGAAAAACCGTAGAATGCACTTTTGTCTGTGGATTTCTGTGACTTGCCTCTAGCCACAATTGGTCAACAACGGACCTCTACTTATTGTCTTTAAAGAAAAAAAACAGTGTATGACTTCTTTCATATGGAAATTGTATCTTAAAACTTTTCAGAGTTTAGTGGAAACTGAAGATTATTTATCGTCAACGGGCACTGTGTCTTTGATTCGTGAAGCGGCGAGGGGCGCCGAAAGCGGTCTTCTCTCTAGTATTTATTCGTACATAGCCCTTGGGGAGTCAGGTAAGCAAATGACGTCACTATAATATAGATGCTACGGCATTAAATGTAAGAATATGACACGTATACGTATTACATATAATATAAAACATTAAGCCGTGACCGATAAAAGCGATTCCAATGACGGGTGAAATTATTCGCCTTTGAGAGTTTCCGGTACGTGCGCTGCGGAAACGGTACAAGATATCTATAAAAAAAATTCTTCTTTAAATACTCAAATTCTGCCACAGACAATTGATTGACTTCCAAAAAGCGATTTTAGTGATAATCAAATTTCGAATAATACAGCGAAAGAACGTTTTCAGAGTTAGCTAGTTCTAAGATAAAGGTAATCGCAGATTTGTTCGGAATGTACTCGCCGATTCATTGAGGCGTATATTGTGGAGATATCTGCTCTTACCTATATAAAGACCGAAAAAATCTTATTGAAATATCCTTGAAATTGCAGGCGTTCGTGCGCCAACGCCACACGAAAAGGCCTTAATAGATGCAGCGATGGAATGTATTGGATCTTGCAATTTGCCTGGACTCCTCGTTTCCGAGACCAAATTTTTACCAGTGGAAAGTTTACAGGTCCGTAATAACATTATATAATGTTAGTTTAAGCATTACATACCGCGATCAATTAAAAATAATCCGGCCAAGCGCGAGTCGTTTTATGGCACTAAGGGAACCATTAACAATTTTCTTTTCTGACCCGCACTTATTAGCCCATTTATTAAATTAGGTAGATTCTTAAGTTTAATTGATATAGCACCGAATACTGTGGATGCCAGTACAAGACCTGCCCGTGTCGTAAATTTAGATGAAAATTACTTTTTTTTTATAGGAGACTTTAGCAGGGAGTACTTGTTTGTTATTACGACACATGATATACACTTTGTGGGAATTTAAACTCTCTAGCTGTCGTGATTCTTGAAATATGGTCTGGTGATAGATAGACAGCGAAATTTTTATGTTAGGTTGATCTTATCCTTTGGTTACGGACCCCAACAAAACATTAAAAATTGCTTGATATAGCTCTTGCAATAAGTTCGTAGGTTAAATCTATCAAAATCAAAAATACCCACCCATTAAAATCATATAATTAATTTTTGTTACAGGAACTGATTCATGCGATGGTTACAGTTGGAACTCCACCTGACTCGGACAGTTTGCAGCTGAACCCACAATTGGAAGATATAACCATATTCTTTCTTGAACTTCTCGGACAAACCCTTATTCAGAATCGGTGGGCATTTTAGTGAAAAAAAAAATTATATTTGGAGCCAATAGTTTCTTAATTTTTTTTAATGATAGTGACAGGGACAGACAAGGAGGGGTTCACTCGATGGAAGATGTAAAACGCAAGCTAAGCTATTATAACAAAAAGAAAATGTTATCCTATCCATTTTTTTTTAAATTATGTAGTTCTTACAAATAAGATGCTGTAACCTTTACAGTGACCGTCTTCTCGCTGTCTGGGACGAATCGGGTCCTCACTTGGAGCGTTTAGTTTTCTGGGCCGCGAGTCGCGGTAACTACGCCCTAACCCGAGTGCTGACCGCTCTACTGCGCACCGCCGCGAGACTCATGCGTTGCGAGCTCTGCGCACCTACCGTGCTTCTTCATCTGCGGTTGCTTTTCAAACTACCCTACAAACTTTTCTACCAGCAAGCTGATGTGGTAAGACTTGGTTGCCATTGATCGTATCTATAAAATAAAACGTAACGGTTTAAAACATGAAATGTATCAATTAATTTAATTTTAACGACCCGAAGTTAATCAGAGAGATTGAGATAAGAAGTCACATCATATTTATCCTACTTCTGGTATAAGTTCAAATTCACTGGTAGTATATCATGCTTCTACGAGACCTTTCACGCTTAACACAATGACTTTGTCTTGAATATGTGGATATTAAATGGATAGTAGTCAAAGTCACAAACTACCGTCCGCAGATGGAAAAAGCGTGAAGTTTACTCGCGTTTCACTTGTGGATTTTCGAACCCTAACTCAAAAATGGCTAGGGTACCTCACTTTCCACCAAGAGAACAAGCCAAAAGTAGGAACGTTTTCCTGTTTTGATATATATAAGCATTTTTGAAGTCCTATTCGACTTTGTTCTTAAAATTATTTTCGTCTTTCAGATATCGTGTGGTGTATACGAAATAGTGAAGACCTCAGCTCAAAACATCCACAGCGGAGCGGAGTGGGCGGCCTTGCTTTCGCTTTTGAGCGCGGCTGGCGCCGGTGCCTGGCCGCGGGACGCTGCGATACATTCCGGTGAGTACTTGAATCTAGTATAAACACGTATAGTGTATTTTTCCTAACTTGGCCAAAGACCACAATAAATATGGCCGATTTGATGTCATGACACAGAGTTCAAGAAATATCGATTTTATATATCGACTAAAGGACCCCAATATTCAAAATCAGTTTTAATAAGTTTTTTTAATATGTCATTATTATTTAACTCGACGTATGTAACGCTTTTCACCGATGGTGATGGCGATGGTGCACGATCGGTGAAAAGCGTTACATACTTATGATACGATGATGAATAGAAAGTACAAGTCCAACTCGACTTGTACTTTCTATTGTCGTTGACTTTGCTTACGTCCTATTACGAAATCGTGATTTCATTGAAATTGTGTGTTTTCCAAAAATGTCAAGTTAGAAAAAATACACTATATACGCTTTGGTCGTTGACTTTGGAGTCATTGAGAGATCGCATATCTATGAGATACAACAACAACACAGATAAGTAAAGCGCCCACACATATGTACATCAGCTTAAATGCTACCATATTTATTTTCATTGTATTTAAATAGTAATAATTTTCCTATAAACTTTGCTATCACCGCGTTTCCTCTATAAGCGAACCAGAATAATAGAGTGTGCATCGTTTTTGTTTATATTCCGGTCATGTGTATATCTATATAGTCGATATACATACCCAATTTTATTATTATTGATTTGACATTTCATTTCAGTGTAAATAGTGAATAGTAAATAGTGTTAATACTATGTGTTAAAACCTTTCGTAAAATAATTTAAAAGGCAATTAGTTTGTTTAATAAGCTTGAAACTTTCAAATAATTGAATTCAATTTCATGATATTGAGAGCGAGTCTATAAAATGAAACTTTCGTTGATGCCTATCCGACTTTTTATTTTGTTCTGGCTAAAAGCAAGGCAAAAGTTATAGATTTTTCTTATAAATATTTTTTTTTATCTGTTTGGTCAGAACGTATAGTTAATCAAACCCTGTATGTCACGGCCGCAAAAATTTTTTGTCACGTCCAGTACCTACACAAATTTGGCCAGTGTTCTTTAGTGTCTTTTGTTCTAAACATCATCAAACAATATAATGATTAAATAGAAACTTTTAGCAGTTTTAATTGCTTTATTACAATTATAAGAGTGCTCGAATCCAAGGTATGTAGTACGACACTTTCGCGAACGCTGCTGGGTGTCCCGCTTCACAATTAATACTTCCAAATGACACAACTCCAATCTGAAAGTATAATTAAAGGTCGAATATTTGTCGCTAAGGAGGCTAGGTACTAAGCTTTTTTTTAATAATAGGGGAGGACAGGCTAATACGGGGTTTACTTGATGGTGAATTACCTCAACCTATAGCATCTTAACAAGATGTGTTGTCGATCTATTTTGGCAATGGATATTCGGAAATCCACAGATTAAAATCGAAACGAGATTAAACTTCGCGGTCTTTGATCTGTTGGTGGTTTAGGTGATTTCCTGACGAAGTCCAACATGTTTTCGAAGAATTATAAATTAATTAGAAGCATGTTGCCCCGGTGGGGATCGAACCCACGTCGATTATTAGCCGTACATTGCTACACCAACGACTCCGTCAAGAGCTTACCAATACGCCTCTGCTCCCGGTACCGAGTGACAGCGGTCCACCCGAGTCACTATTGCAGGGGTTGTCCTTGTTTGGCCCGCTACGTGTACAAACCATTCTGTCTGTCACGAATGGGCCCAGTTTCGCCGAGCACTCTTCGTTGGAAATGATTTGCGTGGTGAAGTGCTTCAAAGACTGATTTGGTTCCAAAGATGCACCTATAAATTAAAATTGTACATCGTCAAAGAGACGCCGTAAAAGTAGTTGACAAAAAAACATTTTTTTTTAATTCTATGTTGACAAGATACTGTCTATAGTTGACTCAAGTAGTACACATTTAAATTAAATATATTAGCGGTTTAAAACGTGATATATATTAGTTAAACTCATTCGACGGGGAGACTAAAGATGGAGGATGTCTGTGACGTCAAAGTAAAAACTGTTTCGCCATCTGTTCCATGGAAGTTGGTATTTGGCCATCTTTAGTTTCCCCGTAAACATGGCTACTGCAAGGCATCCGAAACGTCGGGCCGTAGTTAAAATAATTTTCAAATAAATTCAACTATTATATATGGCGTTTTAAACCGTTAAAGTGTTTTATTCAAATATGTTGATAAAATATTAAGAATTTTATATTGGACAATTTACCTCTTCTCGTTATTCCATATCCAGCTACTGTGACCCATGCACCTTCGAGATGATTGCTTCCCGTATGGAGGTTGATGGGTTGGATTATATCTGGAAACATATTTTTATAATGCATTTTATTAAAAGTACACATTATTCAGTCTGGTGATGTGAGGATGAGGGACTCACCATTGAAGCCTACCCAAGGCATAACGATTACCGCAATGTCATGTTCCAAACCCTGCCTCGGGTTCCAGCCTTCGTGGTTGATAACGGTGCTAGAATTGACACGTACGCCTCCGTAGAACAGCGTCGTCGATCCGAGCACAACTGTTAGAACTGTCGCCCCGTCCTCCCAGCAATGCGCCGCGGTTAGGGCTCTCGTGTGGCTTATCAGAGAGGCTCCGCAGGCTGAGTCGCCCCATGGCATCGGTATCACGAGACCAGCCTGTCAAGTTTTAGTTTAGAAATTAAAAATATAAAACTTATCGCTTACAAATTTGTGTATTAAAAGTAACATTGTAATACAACAATACAAAGTTGCTTATAGTTTGTAGTAAAACTTTGGCAACATAATAAGTACGCAGGGAAGATTTAAATTAGTTAAAAAGTAGAATAGTCTTTGGCTTCGGCTTTAATGGGTTCGTTCGTCTCACGGAACCCATGTTTGACTCAAAATCGTGGGCTCGATCGCATCAAACAAATCTGTATACTGAATGGGTAGTAGGAACGAATCATAACATCATCAAAACATTCAGCCCGGGTCGACTGCGCATCTCGTTTAGATGTTACATAGCTTGGGAATTTACCTTACATCAAGCGAACCGCATGCTTCTCTCTCCTCCTCTATCAGAAAAAAAAAATAATTGAACGCTCGTCGGCCTGCATAGCTTTCGTGATTTTAAATACCTGCATAAGGCACCACTTCCAAAACCCAAGCTTTTTCAAAAAGGCCTTTGTACAATAAATTTCAATGACCTACCATGTGAGGATAAGCTCCCAACGGTGCATGATCCCCTCCGATTATTCTGGATCCGTCGAAGTCGCTCGCCAGCTCGATCTGCTTCAAACGAGTCGCAAAAGGAATTCCCACTCGTTTGTGGTAGTTGAAATTTGAGGGGAAAGCTATCACTGAAGACAGCAGAGCACATAGGATGACGGATTTCTTCATTTTCAATGTTTTTCAAATGACACTGGAATATCGACACTGTCCTTTATATTATTGCCATTTTCTTATCAGATAACATGAAAGATTGTCGAACTATTCTCTTTTAATTCTATTTCGTTTTCAGGACCTAACGAAAATCACCGTTTGTTTCTGTTTGTCGATTTTATTGTCTAGTCTAATACATTTGGGTTTATAATTATTTATTTATTTATTATTGCTTTATTATTTATAAAACACACTACAGAAAATACTTAAATATTGGAAACGAAAAACTTATACAGCAGACTCTTAAAAGAACGGAGTGATTGAGCTTTTCTGATATTAATGGGACGAGAGTTCCAAAGACGGATAGCTTTAACTGTGACGGAATTATTGAAGAAAGAGCTTTTATGTTTAGGAACAAATAGAAGGAGATTATCAATCGAACGAAGATTTAACTGGTGGGAACTTAAAAGGATGAATATCTCTTTTAAATAAGAGGGAGTTTTGGGATCAAAAAGGACACGGTAAAGGAGATGGAGTAGATAAGAATTCCGACGAGTTCGGATTGGGAGCCAGTTAAGCTTTCTACGAAACTCAGAAACATGATCGTATTTGCGAAGGCCAAAAATGAAACGGATACACGTATTCTGAAGCCGCTCTAGTTTGTCGAGTTGGCGTTCAGTTAAATCCGTGAATGAGACATCGGCATAATCTAGAATAGGGAGTAAGAGAGACTGAGGAAGCAAAATTTTTGTAGGGATTGGAAGGAAATTTTGTAACCGTTTTAGGGAGTGTGAAGCGGCATAAATTTTTTTGCTTAACTGGTTCAGATGAGGATGCCAGGACAGATTTTCGTCAATAATTAGACCCAAACTTTGGACAGAAGGAGTGAAAGGAATGATAGTACCGTCTACAACCACCGGTGAAATACTTTGCCTGTCAACCCGGCCATAGGCTTACTACTACCAATGATGATACTTTGGGTCTTAATTATTTATCAGAAGCAAAAAGTTATTGTGATTATTAACGAAACTCCGCTACCGTCATAAAAATGACGGCTACATTGATTTTCTTGCATCATACAACAACATAAATGATTACATATTTAACAAAAACTGTTTTGGTACAAATTCCTTATTTATATTCTTTCAAACGTAAGCAACGATAAAAATCTTATTACAGTAATTAATTGATAATAATAAGGATTTTCCAAATAACACAACTGATTACCAGCTAATATCACTTCCTACGCTAAAATTCTACAACAAAAATTATACCTTAATTTTGAATAAGTTCAAAAATTAACTATATCAAATACTAAATACTGTCTATAGTTTACGCGAGTAGTACACATTTAAATAAAACACTTTAACGGTTTAAAACGCGATATATTAGTTAAACCTATTTGAAATTGATTTTTAACTTCGGCCCGCCGTTTCGGATGCTTTGCAGCAGCCGTGGTCACGGGGAGATTAAAGATGGAGGATGTCTCTGACGTCAAAGTAAAAAATTGCTACGCTAGCGCCATCTGTTTCGTCGAAGTTGGTATTTGGCGAAACTGGGCCGGTCCTTGCAGAATTTACTAACGGTGTCTTCGCGTTTGGCGGTATGCTGTTTATTGGGATCCAGAGTTTTTAATATGGGATCCCAGGTGTTTGATAATTTGAGGCTGTCCTCCCTATTGAAATTTCGGTGTTTTTTGATTTCAATTGCTTCGCGTACCAATCTTGGAAAAAATCGACTCCTTTGCGAGGATTTTTGGCTGGTCAAAGCGAATGTAATGATTGGGCCCTTCCGATGAGTTTTGGCATACCATAGATTTGGAGAGATGTTTACGTTTTATATCCGCGACGTGTTCTTTAATTCTGTTTGAGATGCTACGCTTTGTTTGGCCGATGTAGGATAGGCCACTATCACAATCCAGTCTGTAAACGCCTGCATCTTGTAAGGGGATAGTACACTTGTTTGGTTTCAGGTATTGCTGAATCTTCTTGTGCGGCTTGTAAATTGTGTCAACAGAAGCTCGAAAAACTTAATGTTATTATGAATTGAGTTAAGGTGTGTAAGAAATGCAGATACTTGTGCTTTGGGTAGGATGGTGAAGGTATCATCTACGTATCGCTTGTAAAGCTTAGGTTTAACCGGGGAAGAAGCAAGGGCCCTCTCCTCAAAGTCTTCCATAAAAATGTCAGCAACTAAGGGTGAAACTGGAGAACCCATGGCTACCCCATCTACCTGAACATAGAAATCCCCATTCCAAAGTAGGTACCCGGTTGTTAAGCAATGTTCTGAGATATCCGCATATTCTATAGGCATGTTGTGTTTAATAAGTTTGCTCTTAATAATTTTGATACAATCAGCTATAGGTAAGTTTGTAAAGAGTGATGTGATGTCAAAGCTTACCATAACCTCATTGTCCGCTACCTTTAGACCTTTAATAGTTTCTACAAACTGATACGAATCCCTGACGTGAGCATTTGTATTTCCCCTGAGGGGGAGTGTTCTGGATAAGTGTTTTGCTAGTTTATAAGTGGGCGAATCTATTTGATTGACTATTGGACGTAAGGGATTGTTTTATGAATTTTAGGTAACCCGTACATTTTAGTTGGCTTCGGGCAGGCTGCGATGAGATGTTTGGCGTCGAGTTTTAGAGTCGTTTTATACTTGTTTATAAGTTCCGACGTCTTTTTCATTACTTTAGTTGTGGGGCCCTTTGCAACCTTGTTGTAAATCGCGTCATCATCAAGTATTTCCGACATCTTTTGGTTATAGTCCGAAGTATTTGATCACGACCGTGGCGTTTCCCTTGTCAGCACGCAGTACTATAATAACTTCGTTAGCTCTTAGTTGTTTGAGAGCAGTCGACTCCGCTAGGGAAAGATTGTATTTAGGCGGCTTGCTGGAGCGTTAGGATACAGGATATATCCTGCCGTATTGCCTCCGCATCTTCCTTAGGGATGACATTTTTGAAGATGCTATTCTCGACGTAGCTGATTATCTCTTCGCAAGGTATTTTTCGCGGCGCCGGAGCAAAATTTAGTCAAAATTTGATAATCAAAGTCAATGTCAAAATTTAGCTGTCAATCTGTCAAAAGTCAATTTAGATGAAAACGCCGTTAACTTGAACGATATCCAATCATTTTATTTATTTAATAATGATATTTAGTAGTAGTAGTTATAAGTTAAGACTAAATACAAAAATAATATTCGCCGCGCGTCTTTTTAAAGCTTCTACTCAATTAGTAAATTAGTGCTCATTGAATTCTAGGAATAATTACAATAATTTCAACTTGATAACATCATCAATTAAGACTTTACGACAATAGATTGCGTATTTGTGAATCAGAACACTTTTTAAACAAGTATTAGTAAGTAACCAATCATTTTTTTACAAATGGACTGCGTTTTTAATAGTTAACAACAAATGCGCCATAGTATTATTATTGAGTGGGTTTTAAACCCATGAACTGAAAATATTAGGTATTAAAGATTTTGAGATGTATAAGTTTATTACTACTAAAAAAATAAAAATTTGTAGCTTTGTAAATACAAATAAAGATCTCTAAAAGCTGTTATTTAGAAAGATAGTTTTGTTTTCTTTAGATACTGACGTAATAAATATTAAGAGGTCGGTATTCTTATTTTTTTCTTATAATGAGGGGGAGAGGGGTCATAAACTAGCAAAATTATTCTTACATAATAAATAAATGGCCTCTAAACAAAGCTTATCTGTTTCCCCTAAATCACTTCTTCCCACAACATTTCCTACGTCATAAGTCTTTATCACCGTTAATTATTATGCGTTGATTAGATATAGGTGGCTATGAGTGATTATGCCATTAAGTGCGTTTGCTGAGATTTGTCAATTGAAGTCACAATAATAGAGAAAACCTCGACTTTGTACAGAATGATAAAAAAAAATTAATTTGTCAGATTTTTGACTCATTTTTTTGGGCGACTCATCAATCAGATCATAAGATTATTTTAGAAGAAACACTTTCACGACAAATGCGTTTTGGCGGTAAATAAAATTAATAAAAATACATTAATTATTATCCTCTCTAAAACATATTAGTACAGTTGTCTAGGGGTTGGTCGTAATGTCGCAATTCCATAATGGTTTCTCGTAGATCGTATCAAGAGTGAAAATTACATAACACTGTCTAAACATATAATAATCTAATAAATATATTAAACATTTTCGATAAACTGGAACTTTTATACTTTAAGTATAGAAATCTGAATGTCCGAATCTAAAATAAATCCAACCGCATCAAGCGAATCCCATTCTTGTGTGGATGGAGGTCTGATTTAACATAAAGATGGAACTCTTTTCTGTTATAATTTTTTTTTTATTTTTACATACAATAGGAATTCAATGGTAAAATATGCGTTATATTGTATATTAGGTAGTGTAACACTACCCACTATATACATAGTATTTAGTAGTCTTGTTATAGCTGTCCGATTAGCGATTCTACATATGAGCGCGAATCCAAGGAGCGTAGTAAGATACTCTGGCAAAGGCAGCTGGATCTCCTCTCTCACATCGACCACTTCCAAAAGATAGCACACCAATCTGCAATTCAAGTCACCAACTCAGCAAATTTCTTGTAAAACAAAACATCGTGTTATGTCTTAAGAGTTAAAACAAAGCCCTCACCAAAAATGCATTTCTGCCTACGCCAATTGTCAGTGGTCCTCCGGAATCACTGTTACAAACATTGTCGTTGTTAGAACCGCTTCTTATACAAATGTTCGAATGAACCACCATCGTCCCTAATCTCGCTCTGCACTCGTCGTTCGATATTACTTGAGTGGTGAAGTGTTTCAATGATTGGTCTGGTTGTAAGACAGCAGCTGTAATATAGAAGAAAGATCACTTATATAGATGCAATCAAAATGCTGAACGAGAACGATTTTACAAAGGACAATGTTAATGTTACGTAAGCAGTTAAAAATTACTTACAGTCACCTGTCCTTCCATAGCCTGCGGCTGTAACCCAAGAACCTGTGAGGTCATTGGTTGCTGTGTACAAGTTTATCGGTTGGATGAAACCTGAAAAAAGAGTATCGACTCTTATATTTATAGACACAGGAATTAGGTCAGTTGTCAATGCTGCTGCTATTTTGGTTTAGAATTGGTTCTCTACTTTAGTGGATCACGTGTAGATGGCATCGTCATCGTACCCTTTTAAGGAAAGACTGATCTTCCGTCACGGCCTACACTTCTTAATTATGTTAAAACATGACTTACTATTAAATCCAACCCATGGCATCACTATAACAGCGATGTCGTTTTCTAAACCCTTGGTCATGTCCCATCCTCCGTGCAATATAACGGTGCTGGTGTCGACGCGCACTCCACCATAGAACAGGGTCGTGGAGCCAAGGACTACGGTCATACGGGTCGCGCGAATCCAACAGTGCGCTGCGGTTAAGGCTCGAGTGTTACTGATGAGGGATCCTCCGCAGGCTGACGTGTGTCCTGTCGGCATTGGTATAACCAGACCGGCCTATATCAAAATAAAGAGATCTTGTTTTATAACATTCACTTGCTAAAAGGATTTAGGCTTTATCCATGTCGTGTGCTCTCGATGGATCCAATCAATGTCTTCTAAAGGGTTTCTAGAGCCCACCACGTTCCCCAAGTGCAACATTTTTGAATTTTGCTAACCACCAATATAAAATGAATTTTAGGACGATGGCTATAATTAGAAAATTGTTTTCTCAAACCTTTAAGTATCATGGCTTCGAACCATAACGTTGTTAAATGTGGTCAATTTTGTGAACGAATATATGGAAAATTCGGCTTGTTACCTATTGGAGTTTTCAAAGATTATTCTTACCATGTGGGGATAAGCGCCTAAAGGCGCAAACTCGCCACCGACTATCCTCGATCCATCGAAGTCACTCGCGAGTTCGATCTGCTTCAAGCGATTCGCAAAAGGGATCCCCACCTCCTCATGGTAGTTCAGGAATGGATGAGGAAGCGACTTGGCAAACGCACAAGATAATGTTATGCTTAACACAAATAATGTCTTCATGTTTCTTGCTTGCCCAATTAATGAGCAATATTTTTATACGATTAGCTTATATAGTGTCGCAAGTATGTACTTATCTAAATTTTGATATGTTGATTAAATACCATAATATTTAGGCTTAATATTGACTTTACTTGAAATTGCTATCATATGTAATTGTTAATTGATTGTTGGGGCTTATACAGCGCCTGAGAGTCTGTAATTTACGCGAGCAATTATTACATTTTACATTTAAATAAAACAAACGAACAAAGTTTAAAACGCTATATATATACGCTATATTTAAACTTATTCGAAACGTCGGGCCATAGTGAAAATAATCACCAACCGTTAAATTGTTTTATTTTAACGCTTCTGATAATTTACATAAAAAAGAAACATCATTAAGGCTTTGCTGTCTGTCTATCTGTCACAAGGAAGCGCGACACCTAGAGTGTTGGAATCCAAAGATTTCGTATTACTAAAAATATCATAGATATTTAAGTGATGCTTTAATATAAATAACGCAATATTAATAATGTCACTATATCGGCACTTCTAATGACTAAAAAAAATTCCAACATGAAATGTATCTACCTAGTCAACAAGTATGTACTACTATTTCGTAAAACATTTATTTGTACGTATATTTATAACTGTATAATTAAATTCATATACAGTCGTTTTTAAAGATCTTATTTAATCTTTGGTATTTGTCCGTATCAAAATAAATTGACTGAATATTTAACACTACTTCATAACAATTATATAACGTTTAGGATTATCCAATTTGAAAAATATCATCAGTTAAAAATATAACTTACTCAAGAACTGTAGTGTCAAATAAATAATTTAATTAAAAAAAACAGTAGGTAACCAATAAATTAGATACAGAAACTAATATTGATAACGGAGTACAATATCCCAGGAGTATATAAATTCACTTATAAAAATAGATTTCGCCAACTCGCTTTTAGAGTATTTATATATTAAAATTTTCTTTACATACATTTATTCTTTTTAATAATCCCTTGCAAAAATGATAAAAAAAAGAATGGTTGTTACTCTGTGGGGAGTTAATAACTTCTGAAATGTTCTTTAATACCACACGCAAAGCCGAGGCGGATTGTAGTTATAAATAATTAATAACAAACATATGCTGTATAGTATATATCATAGATTATCAATTAATTTTTGTGTTTGTGATAATGCAAGGTAATGTATATTATTTCTTTTAAGTTTATTTTTTAAATCGTGTTTTTACTCAATTAAACCTCGACGATGCTATTTTAATAAAAATCTACTAATATGTAACATGTAAAAAGTATTACGTTTTTAAACGATAATATGTGGTTATAATATTGTATAAAATAGTTATAAACTTACATTCCCGATCTGACTTAAAGGATTTTTATATAAAACTTTTAACTACGGCCGACGTTTCGGATGCTTTGCCGCAGCCATGGTCATGGGGAGACAAAAATAATTTTCAAATACGATATAGCGCGTTTTACCGTTGAAGTGTTTTTTTAATATGTAATATCGCGTAAACACCAGACAATATTTAAAGGATTTTAACAAGAAACGAATACTTTGTCTTAAAATAAATTTTATTCGTATTAAACATGAGTTAACTTTTACATGCGTGCTTGTATCCAGGAAGCGAAGGCAGTGACTCGCGCGAAACCAGCCGGAAAGCCCCATTGGCACCCGCGCGAAGACCCAAACGATACTATTCCAATCTGTTAAAAAAATGTCAATCAATACCCTAATATATAAAGCTGAGGAGTTTGTTTGTTCGAACTCGCTAATCTCCGGAACTACGGGTTCAAATTGAAAAATTATGGTTATAAAGAAGGCTATAAAATATCACACTGTAACGCATAGAAGCGACGATACAGCGAAAAATGTGAACAAAACGGGGAAAATTTTTCATCTCTGTGCGTTAGATACGTGCGTTGCAAAAACGGTTCAAGGCATCCAAAAATTATGTGTGAAATAATGATTCATCTTTGAATGATCTAAAAAAATATCCGCGACACTAATGTCTATCTTTTAAGATTCACTTGCAAGAAAGACGGGTTGCGACAGACGTCATGGGCAGCTTAAATTTATAGTAAGGTGTAGAAAGAGGTTTGCAAAAACAAATTTGGATACTCAAAACAACTATTCTACGCGAATGAAGTCGCTGGAACAGCTAGTTTTTATGAATGTTGCAGAACTTAATGGTGTTAATAGAAGTATATCTAATCTGATCTAAATATTTTCAGAGCAAAAAGATGATGAAATTTTAAAACAACCGTGCCGTGAACGAATTATAAAAAATAATTGCCAACATATTTTCTTCGGTCGACTTTCGACCTTAAAATGTAAATTATGTTAAATAACAATGTGTCAATTTACTAAGAAATTAATTTCTGCCAAATTTATTTTATATTAGAGTTTATCATCGTTTCTAAATTTTCGTAATCGCTTTATGTAATGTACATTCTAAAATGCAACTTCACGATCCAGGTTTGTTATATAAAGTATAATGCAAAACTATGTTTTTCCCCATGGAACGAACACTTTTCTGTGTCTGTTTCTCCGATCGGTTTCATTTACAAGCAAGTAGTTGATCAGACTTCTATGCCATGCCCGACCGGAATAATTATATTGTTTATCCGGGATTCGAAGCCGGAACCTCTCACGCTTAACGCAATTCTCGAATTATAGAAAAATAATCTTCCTATCTCAATACTAACCAATTGACGTTCGCTTCCGCTACCAACGACTAGTGGACCACCAGAATCACCACCGCATGTACTTTTACCACCGCTACCGCTGACGCATAGAGTTGACGACACTATGACACTGGAGCCATACGTCGTTGCACATGCTTGATTCGTTATCACTTGGAGAATCACTTGGTTCTGTGTTTGACTCACGCCACTAGCTGCAAACATGTTTTACTACTATAAAAGAAGCTTTTAAATGAGTAGTTTCAATATCGGACATCGTTCAGCATATCATTGTTTTTCGCGCTGTTCGGCCGACGTGAGCAACAAAGGGTCTTGACGTTTTGCCGTCACAAGCCGACGGCAACCTCAGGATATAATAGCATCTCCTGATGATGCCGAAAAACAATGATATGATCTATATTAGAGTCTTTACCTATAATACCTCCCTCCTGAATAATGCTCAATTATCGAGCATCCATACGTGGTATAACAGTCAGATCAAACACTTCCAAACACAGATGAATGTGACTGAGAAGATATCTTACCATCACTTGTTTTTCCAAATCCAGCAGCTGTCGCGAAGGCTCCAACGAAATTGTTTGACCCTGTCGCTAATTTGACGGGACTTATTGTATCTGCAATTAGAATTGTCTTTGAAATGTACGTGGCTATGTCAAAAAGCTTCATCTTAGCCTAGTTGTGTAAGTTTGATAACTAACGAGCTTATTTATCCAATGTTTGTAATATAAGACTAGTAATCAAGGGATTGTGGATTTCTACCAGGTCCAGGATGGGTCTAAAATAAGATTATAATTCTTCTGAAGCACGTCAGATCTAACCTTGAAAATCTGAATCATCAACCACCGTCCATAGATGAAACCGCCGTATAGTTATCGCGTTTCGATTACAGTCTGTGGATTTCCGAATATCCAAAGCCACAAATCGATCGACAGTTGACATTTGGTTTAGAAGGTATATAGTTACGGTAATTCCATCCTGTCTTTTCTGTCATAAACTATGGGATATAATAAGTACTAATGCATACTCACTGCTTAGTTGTACCGGTTCTATAACGATGACAGCGACGTCATTGTTAAGGTTCCACGTACTATACCCTGCGTGGACTTGCACATTGTTCGTGTTGATCCTAGTGCCTCCAGAGAACAATCTCACCGATCCCAAGACTACGGTGAAGAAGGAGGCCTGGACTCTACCGTCTGTCCAGCAATGCGCGGCAGTCACTAGTCTAGTGGTACTTAAAAGAGAAGACCCACAGACTGATTGGCGACCATCTGTCAATGTGATGAGAAGACCGGCCTGAAAATAAAATGTGAAATAGAAAATTTTGTTATTCATGAGTTCTGCGATCATTGTAAGAAATGATTCTCCTATGTGAGCCTGAAAATCTATAAATTAGTGGGAGATTTCACCAAAAGCTTTTACGATTTTAGGAACATTATCAAGGTCCTTTTGTGGACATCTTACCAAATGCGGATGATCCCCTAACTTTGCTGGTGACCCTCCAACTATTCTGGATCCGTCAAAATCTAGCCCCTCTTCTACTGCTTTAATCAAACCGGCTTTTGGAATACCGATGCTTTCATGGTAGTCCAAAGTTATCTGAAACGGCTCCTCCGCATAGCAGAAAGCTAGACTCACGACGACCAGAAATAGTTTCATGGTGTTAGTTCTAAGTGATTCCCAAAAATTACTCGTTTATATATTGTTTTGTTAATCTTATCATTTAACTGTAATTTGGACCTCTATCGATTACGATTAAAGTAATCAAATTAGGTTAATCTTAAGGTCACTAATAAACAGTTGTTACAGTAATTTCATCATACCATTCCTACCTCTAAAAGAATAGAAGTCAAGGTAAAAATAATTATTTGATCTTCAAGTAGATATGGTTAATGATAAGTAAATTAGGTCTTGCTTGAAAATCAATGTTTAAGTCAAGGTCTCAATGTTTATGTTGTTTCAGCATCCAGTCGTTCAGACGGATCAGAAGATGAGGTTGAAAGGAGGCCGACGAGTGCGTCGTCTGAGAGTGAATTGTCCCATTCACCGCAGACACAGGGGTGGATCCTGGTAAGAGACTGTGCTACCTTCGATCTTTCAGCTATGGAAAATTGTCATTACCAATACATTTACGAAATGATTTTCCTATACGTTATACAAAGATCGTTTATAGCGATGATTAAATTCTAAATACTACGCGCAACCTAATTGTATAATGTATATATAAGCATATATAAATATTGGGATAGAAATCATAGAACAAAAACATATATATAATTAAGCTCTACATTATTTTTTGCCTATTGTAGAAAAATTATTGAATAGCACGATGATGACTTTTTAACAGTAGGTAAAGTCTATCTTTGGAATAAGAAAGATTAACTTTTGATTATAGAATGAAAATAATTTACGACACGGGCAGGATTTGAACCGGTATCCACAGCTAACCTAACCTAACCAATTCACTTTTTTAATTTATATTTTCCAATAACATGTGAAAAATATTAATCTTTTCAAAAGAAAGATTATTTAAAATCGATATAAACGGGAGCATTTAAATGTTTAGGTGAAGAACGAGGCTGGTAAAACTACTGAAACCATCGAGGTGGAACTCGACCAAGTGACGCTGCGCGCTCACCGGAGTTCTGCGCTGGCGCGCTGTGCTGAAGCCCTCGCGCTGGTTATACGCGATGTGGCCCATGTTACACCGCACAACTGCCGCGCAGCTGTCAGAGCAGTTAGACTATTGGCTAGAGCTACACTACATTCAGGTGTGTTATAAGAAATAACAAAATGGATTCTTCTTATTCCTTACCTTACTTTATATCATGCAAAAAAAAATCTGAGATCCTTAATACAGTTAATGTGTTTTGTAAAACGTTTTATGAGTCTATTCGCCATGCAATCTTCTATAAATATAAACTCAGCAAGTTTTTGCAGCGTAGCAGATTTGACTTTGACATTAATAACGCCCTCCAACTTTATTCCTCCCGCTACCGTGCTGCAAGTAAGAGTAAACTTTGAAAGTGTTAAACGCTACTTTAAAATTGTTTTCAGGCAAATCGAACAAGATTCGCGCCGGACACAAATCTGGACGTGGACGGACGGAGTCAAGCGACGAAGACGACACGCTCGACAGCTATCACATGGTCAGCATTCAGGTGAGCCAGACTCACTGTTCTAATTTCGCTTTTAATGCTTTCAACCATGTTCACACGATTGGCATTGCACTGCCTATGAAAATTTGTTTGATGCCTATAAGAAGGCTATTCCTATTATCCCAATAGCTGACAATATTCTTCGCCGTGGGAGATTAAGCTGTATGTATTTTCGCTTTCAATCATCAAAACTTTTAATAGCTTAGCCAATTGCCTAAGCGCAGTACAGTTGAATGGTATCACTAACATACGTAAAGGCTTTCTTCTTAAACACAATATTTGTAAAAACAAATTTAAGGTAGAAGGTAAGGTTTCATTTCATTCAAATTTAACAGGTTCTGTTTTTATTTTTCAGTTGCTAGATTTAATGCATACTCTACACAGTCGGACGGCTCAAATATTTAAATGGTGGCGAGACGAAGCCGATCAGGGACAAGGTATGTGGCTTTTTGGTAAATTAAATAGTTACATGGAGCTTGGAAAATGTATAAATAATGTATTCATGTGGCTAGCACACCAAATATAATTTACATTTACTACCAGTTCCCCAATAAGGAAACGAGAAGAACTGGCAAGAAACTCGCGCCACTCCATTTATCGTCGAGATGGCGTTAAACACAAAATGCTTAATCTAAATTCTTAGAGCATACATACATATACTGTTTTGAAACGTTAAATCACTCACCGAACTATATTTTCCAAGACTATAGTTGCGGTGATAATAAATACAATTTTGTATATAGCTAAAGTTCTTGTTAGTACTGAGTACATGTCAAATACAGATATATTTGTCACTTCAGGCGCCGAAGAATATGATCTATGGGAGGTGGCCTGGAAGCCGCTGTTGCAAGGTATCGCTGAATTTTGCACCGATAGAAGGAAACAGGTATGTTTTTAAATTGTATGAAGCCAAAAATTCTATAATGACCCTTGTTTTGTTGTCGTTAATATCCTTTTGTGTTTTCCTGTAATACATTTGGACGCTTTATCGTATGTTTTCTTTTTCAGGTGTCGAATAGCGCTATAGCTTATCTGCAGCGTGCCCTTCTGGCGCCGGCTCTGGCGTCGCTCGGCGGTGCCGGTTGGGAGGCGTGTTTCTCTCATGTGTTGCTGCCCTTGTTGAACCAGCCTCCGCCTAGACATGAAACGGCCGCCAGAGCCAACACGCTTATGTGCAAGGTATGATGACAGCATACGTATTCACTATACATTTATTTGGAGATACCACAACGCAAATACATAATGCAAATGCGAGATAGAATGTCTAATGACTTAAATAATAGCTTTTGATAGCGTTGGAGAGACAAGCATTTGGTTCACTTGATTGTAGGTAAAATGGGCCAGCCATATAACATCTAAAAATGCGTTACCGACCTATTTTGGTTTAGGATATTTAGATATCCACAGCCTGAAACCGCAACACGATTAAACTTCACGACCTTTTTCGACTGACGTTTTTTTTATATTGAGGTTAGAATGGTTAACCGCACACTTAAAATTAAAAGCGAATGACACAAATTACAATTACACTCACTGATAATTTATAAATAAATAAAAAATGTGAAATAATTTTCAGGTCTTCCTTCAACACTTACAAGCTCTAAGCGGAAGAGCTACCTTCGCATCTCTTTGGACGAAGATCGTTCGCGTCCAACAGTCTTTGCTGCAGTCCTCCGCAGAGCCACTGCGGGAGGGTGCTTTGGAGTCCCTTAAGAACATGCTTCTAGTTATGCACTCCGTGAAGGTATGGTAATGCTGTTACGTTAAATGTTAATCATAAATCAACGACCATAAAAAGTATGAATTTATTTTTTCGTTGTGTGACAACTCGTGACGTCATATGTGGTCAAATTCACGATTGCTAATGAATGACGTCACGCATTGCCATCAGTATACAAAATATTTCAATGAAATATATTATTATTTATTAAATAATCATAAAAGCTATATCTTTGATCTAAGTAGATTAAATAATTTGATGTATAATGTTAACTGTTGTGAAATACCTTTTTTGCTGGCTAAATTAGATTTTTAATTTTTCTTAAGCAATTACTCACAATAACGACACTTAGACGCGTATTGCATGCTCAATGTCTTCTGCTTTGTAATCTTTCAGATATTCAGCAACGGCGACGGTTATAACGACCTCTGGTACCTGACGTGGGATATCATCGGCGAGTTTCTGCCTAACTTGAAACAGGAATTATTCCCAGACGGTGAGGGACGATTTTAACATGACTATTGATATTTTCAGAGAAAGAAATCTTCCAGAAGATTTAGATTGTCATTTCGGTTGTTGCATGCAACCACATTTAAATTCGAGGCTTTTTCATTTGTGGACGTTTGTGCGTGCCACAGACGCTTAGAATCATGTTGTACTCAGGGCGTCGAACCCATGGCCTCTTGATTATATATTCATTTGCTACCAAGCCCACTGTATCATCTATTAAATTTAATTGGATCTTGTAGGCCTAGTGAAACTTCATCTTAAGTAATCTGTTAGTAAACCCTATGTTATCTTTTCTTTTGCTCTTTGTTGGAAATAATCAATGATTATATATGGTTTTAAATAAAACACTTTAACGGCGTAAAACGCGATATATATAAGTTAAAGCTTCGCTAAATACCAACTTCGACGGAACAGATGCCGCTAGCATAGCAGTTTTTACTTTAACGTCAGAGACATCCTCCAACTTTAGTCTCCACGTGACCACGGCTGCTGCAAAGCATCCGAAATGTCGGGCCGTAGTTAAAATAATTTTAAATAAGTTTAACTAATATATATCGCGTTAAAGTGTTTTATTTAAAGGTAAAAATGCTACTTTTAATTTCAGTGGACGACAACACCAAGCCAACGCACAATCTACCTAGCCACATGCAGCCTGCCATACCTCATTCGCTTCCTACCCTCATTCCAGTCGGATCCAACAGTATGCCCAATAATCCTTATAATGCCAATGTCCCCCAAAATTCCTCACACCCTACTGCCAACGCACCCGCTTTTGCGATACCACAACCTTTACCAACACCCAACATCATAAGCCATCAAATTCAATCCAGCCCCGTTCACATCCAACGTCAAACACCAAATATCCTAGTTGGTTCAGTGGCCAGTTCACCTATAAATTTACCACTAACGCCACCTACCGGACCGACTCTGATAGCACCAATCCCAGTGCCGGGTACGGTGCAACAAGTCGCCCCACAAATGAACCAAGTTCCACAGACTAACCAACAAGTACACCAGACTAATGACGAACATCATACAGAGACAGTACAAAATGTCGGATGTAGAGTAGTCTCACCCACTCTAGGACCACCCGTTAGTGGTATGGTGTCTTTTCGGAATCCGCTATACGAGCAGTCGAGTTTGACGTCATCAGTCTTACTACAGCCTTTAAACGAGGTGGGTGTTTAGAACTTTAAAAAAAATATATATAAAATAAACAATACTTAGGCATTTATTAATTCATCTTATTTGAAGTAATAATTGAACTGCTATTATTGTAAGATGAGGTCCCTTAAAGATGAATGACTAGATACATATTTAGTACCGGTGTCTTCCTTCTCGCGAAAATTTTAAATACTATAATATAATTTTGTGAAAAAAAAATACATTTCAGATGATTTCAACGCCCATCGGGATATCGATACAGTCACAGCCAAGCCAGCCAACGAGTCAGTTAATTAGCCCACCTCTTAACCAATCTACGGACCTTATCGCATCTTCACGAAGCCAAGAAGATAGTGAGCCCACACACACACAAGTACAACAAACTGAAATCTTTGCTGAATATCTAACGAACCCCTACCATGACGTCACGATATCAACCAAGGAAGCAACCTTATATGAGCCCGAAAACGAAAGCGTCTTAAGCCAAAAATCCTTCAGTGCAAACGTCACTCCGTTGCGCAGCAATAAGGCTCAATTTGGCTCAACGGATAACGTGAGGGAGTCGGGAATTTTTAATTTTGCTAGTTATTTCAGCTCAGGCATGGGGTCGGAGTTTGATACGCTAATGTCGACGCAAGAAGGATAGCGTGAAACGGACATGGGCACATGGTTGTAAGAACACAAAAGATTCAACGTTTCAATGCAACCTAACTTTAGTTGAATATAGCATAAACAGTAAATAGTATTTTAACTTTATTACGTAAAGGTAACATACAGGAGGTTTCTTAAATGTATAAATAATTATTTCTAATCACTAGTCAAGTACACGCTTGGCCTATCATGAATTTTGTATAAGATATATTATTATTGTTGTACCATACTCTTTGTTTAAAAGTCCTGCGTCTTAGGAGGTAAGGAACTGTTGTCTGTGGTACTAGCGGCCATATTGAAGTAAACCATAGATGGTCCATAGCAAAAACTCTTCTGGCTTTGAAAGTAAGGGCCTACATGTTCCCTTCTCTTCTACTAATACATCTGTTGTATTGTTATTTGACAGTAAATACGTTACGCGATACTTAAGAAACGTAAACAAGAAACGTAAACATTTTTAAAATGATAGAGGACAGACGAGCTTGGGGTTCACTTGATAGGAACATCTACAAGATATGCCGTCGACCTATTTTGGCTTTGGATATTCGAAACTAAATATAATTCAGTCTGGTCACTGGTGTCTCCTCAAACTTTTACTTCTTTGATAAAGAAATAATAAATAGTCTTAACTACTTGACTGTAAATAAAATCGAATTCGTGCGCATTACTCACCATTTAAAAGTAAAAGTATTTGACAACAGATAAATAAAACACTTAACGGTTTAACGAATAGAAAACCGACACGTCGAGCCGTAGTTTTAAACCGTTAAAAGTGTACTCTCGTAAATCACAGACAATACGAAATAAAGTCTGACCTCTTAGAAGCTCAGTCATTTAATAGATAATTTGCTAATAAAGGCCTAATACTGTCTCCTACCACAATCCTATATGAGTCTATGGTATTATAAAGAAACAATTTAGTATTACATTTCGGGGATATGGGGAAATAGGTGATGAATGGTCAGCTGATGGTGTGGACTGATCACCTGGCCTGCTATGGGTGTCCCCGATAGAAAATAATAATAATTACATTTAGGGAATTTATTTTCGTGTAAGATTCTGAAAATAAATTAAACATAAACTTTAAGGTCTCTTCTTAATTGTGATCTATAGACCTCTACTCTAATCTCTTTATACTGTTTTTTATCTTTGAAACTAATCAATGATTACTATCGATTCTTTTATTTGTTTTTTTTTTTATACATTCCAATAATGATATGTTACCTAGTTATGTTATATATTTGTAATTTATATTTTAACAGTTCAGGGTTAATGTTGAAATAATAGTGTAAATTTTGTAATTATAATTATCAATGTCTAGACTTGTATAGAGAGCTATTATATATTATGTATCAATTTAATGTTTAGATGTTTAATAAAATGTGTTTCATTATACAGTATTTTAGTTATGAGCAATAGTACTACATTGTTATTGAAGACCGTCAAGATGGTTGTATCCATCTATAACCCGATGAAGGTTTGAATGAAACAAGTTAATATAGTAAAAAATCAACAGTATATTTCATAGAATTACATTATTTTACAGTATTTACATAATTATTTGTACAATATCGAGAACACCTTCACAGAAGGCAAGTAGGCACTTAATTTGACACTAAGTAAATACACTCAAGACAGGAATACACAAATCTTACGATTTACAGTTTACACCCTAGAAACGGTCAAGGGCCGTTTGTAATATGGATGATGAGTTCTCAGTAAGGGTGGGGCACAACACGGGGCCTTGCGCGGAGGGCAGAGGGCCTTCCTCCACACTAGGGCCGACTTTCGTGACCACGCCCACGCTCCGGCCGCGATGCCACATGACAACCACAAGCAAACGGATACACCGCTCGATCCCGCCGTATCCTCTTGGTTTCCCGCCTCTAGCGCGGCAAATAACGCCAGCTTGGATTGTATTTCCCTGTTTCTGGCTTCGATAACTTTCACTCCGGTTGCGAAACCGGCCAATAATAAGTAGAAAAGTCCACCTACAGCCGCTCGGACCGCTAGTCTTCCTACGCGCTTTGCGCCTCTGGAATCCAACGCCCTTCGCACCCTCATTATCCCGGGGCACGCTCCGATCGCCAACGCCACGGATGTGACTAATAAAGCACCTCGGGGCACTCCAATTAACGCTGCGGCCGCTGTATCAGAAATGCCACACGTGCCAGTCAGTTCGTCTGCCGTCACTCTTCGTAGCGCTAAAGCCGCTGCAGTCCAGGCGCCCGCCCAGCCCCAAGCGACCGCGTGGAGATACGCCGCGGCGCGTTCCAGCGCTTCTGTGGACCATTCGCTTGCAGCGGTTAAATACCATGCAACGCATGCGTTCGCGAACCACGCATCTGCCGCTAAGGTAAAGTAATACGTTAAAGAGAAGAAAGCGACGCAGGTCGGCGACGCTAATCCATCTACGGCAAGCGTGGAACCGGAACACGAGACTAGCTTAGCGCCGAGCCAGCCCCTCGTCACGTGAACGAGTGCTACGATGGCGTGACACGCCGCCATCCACACCATGGGCCGCTCTGGGTAACGATACCTCGAAGGCTCCGCGCAAAACGTCACTAAAGCGAAGGAAGTGGAGAGAAGAGAGATCCAGGCTAGCGTAGTCATTGAAATCTCTGCGGTATGTTTGTCGGACTCGGTGTACCGAGCGTGCTGGTCGCAAGCTGGCCAACACTCCCCTGTCGGGGCTCTCGTGTGCGCCGGTGGGCAGCCGTGCTCCCGGATATCGTGATCGTGGAAAGGCCAACGCGGAGGCGGCGGTGGTTCCTGTTCTAGCTCGCTGGCGTTCGGCGGTCTCATGCATAACCTTCTGTCGGGTCTAAGAGGGAAGGCGGAGCAGTCGAGTACGACGGTGGCAGGGAGAGTTTTGATCTGCTCTTTGCAGTCTTCGATGACCTTCTCGCAGACGGATCGACAGGCACTAATTGTGCCCGAGACGTCTTCGGAACACAGTGGGGCGAAGGCTGAGCAGAGCAGGAAGCGCGCGTGCGGCGAACACTCGCTCGAGAGGATTCCCGTGAACAGTGACATCTGAAAAGATAGAAAAGTCATTTTAAATACTGCTTCAAAATCAGCTCATTACAAAAAGATCTTCTTTTCTTAGTAAAATACTTTTATCTGTTGAAAAATCGCGAAATACATTGGTTTTTTTTTTATGGCAGCAGGTGTACAAACGCTACGCATGCTGCAAAACTTTTGAATACGTCGAATGGTAGTTAACATTAATTAAAAATGTATTTAATAGAGTTCGCGTTTAAAATCTTAAAAAAGTGTTTTATTTAAATGCGTGCTACTCGTGTAAACTTCGTTCCTGTTAGTCATTGTCATCGAAATAACGATCGCGTCACGGACTCTATAAACTTCTTTGAAAAAGTAAACCTTTTAAGAATCCGTCACCGCTCAAATATCAAATGTTTATCCAAGCAAATAAATAATACAAGTGAGTACCGAGAATCGGACAACTCAATGGATTAGCTAAAGTAAACAATTGCCGCAACACCACCATTCGTTTTGCGATTTTCTACCTTATATGCTTACGAAACGGTTGCTTTTCGATTAACTCGGGCGCGGTAGATCTACATCAATAGAAACCCTTGTATGTGATCAGTCATGTGAATAAGCAAAATGGTCCTAAGAGAGCCGCTTTACTTAGATTCCAACTTAATAGTATGACTTTAACTATTTTATATGTTACGTAAAAATCTTAGGTTAAAAAGAACGCATAGAAAAGTCTCAAAACTGCTTTTGTTTTTATTCTTTAATTATTTATTAAATGTCTATACTTAAATTATTTGTAAAAAGTCGGTTGTGAAACTACTATTATACTCTACTAGTTGAATAAAACTAACCCCCCCTTAAACATGACATCTAAAGTGAAGCCGACATCGTAAACCTTTTTCGTAAGCAAACTGCCTTGTTTGTTCACAATTGTCGGCTTAAAAGTCTCTTTTTCTCGAAAAACCGTCGAGAATGCTTCAATTCGAGTGCAACTCACCGTTCGTTAATAGGATCTTAAAGTTTGTTACTCCACCCTAATCCGGAACGAATGAGAATAAAAAACACTTTGGTGTTTAATGAATTGTAATGTGAGTAGCTTGTATACGATAAGCGTGTATCAAACAAAAATAGGGAATAAATGGCATTTTTGTGTGAAAGCTCTTAAAAATCCATTTTATTTCATAATAATTAAGTTCAAATACAACTGGATGTTTTGTGAATATTTCAAGTGCTGTCACTATTGATAAAAAGGAAAGGCGCAAAAGCAAGTTTTTTTTACCGTTGCTTAGTCTGTAATTTAATCCGAAATATAGTCTCTACAAAACGATATACGTCTCTGTTCTCTATGGTATATATGTAATACGTGTTACAAAAATACGACTTGGCTGAAAGGTCTCATTACCAGGCCATTAAATATAACAAAAAAATCATGTCAGATAATTTAAGCAACGTAATTAAAAGAAATTAAATTCGTTGAATTTTACGTTGAATTTTTTATAATTTGTGAACAAACGCGGAGTGATAGTGATGGTTTCGGATACGGTTTTAACTTCGAAGTGTCGTTCAAAAACGAAAATCGCGTTGCAATTAATTCACCGAATAAATTTCAACTTAGACATTGGAATGACAGTAACGAAAAACGCTTGATGTTATACCTTCACATCAGCAAGGCCATCAAATTACTGACTCCTGTTGTATAATTGCTTCAAGGTTCTTTGAAGTGGGTCTTTTTGCCTCAAAAGACAGTTAACTAACAAACGCGTCGGTTCGTGAGTTGCCATGTTTATTCACCAGGTCGATAGACAAACTATGGTGGTCACTTAGATTTGTATATCTGATATGAAGATCACGGAGAAACTAAATCTCTAAAAATCGGTGGTTATCAATAATTAGAAGTAAATACTGTCTGTCGTTTTTGCGAGTAGTACACGTAAATAAATCACTTAATCTGCTGCAAAGCATCCGAGACGTCGGGCCAAAATCGAAATCATACAAATAAGGAAGCACTGTTCATTAAGACTGTCCTTTATTTTTACAAGAGGACGGAATCGATCCTGCTCCTTTTACGTACAAAGGAGATTGCTGAATAACTAATCAGGTCGAAATCTCTTTGCCGTTCATAAAATGCCTGAAAAAACATCCCGCCGGCCTTGCCATTGTGTTCCACTCTTCAAACTCCTGCCAACTGGTTTTTTGAGAAGCTCCCGAGAAACCAAATAAAGCCGAATAAGGGCGGAGTACTAATACAATTTATTGCATAAGTACATTAACCACCATAAACATACAAACTAATATTTAATAAGGTTTTTGTTAATTTCTCATAAAAATAATATATTTTACATGATGGATTCAATGGATCCTACAGTTGACTTGGTCCTCGTATCCTCCTCTCAGTTATACTTAACTATTTAAAAAAAACACTTTGACGGTTTTAAATGCGATATATATTAGTTACACATAATCTCCCCGTGACCACGGCTGCTGCAAAGCTTCTGAAACGTCGGGCTGTAGTAAAAATAATTTTAACCGATTTATTATTCAAATGTGGACTACTCACGTAAACTACAGACAATATATACTTTAACTAATTAGGCCACGAACTCATGATTTTCAAAATGTTATTTAACGCTAGCTTACCGAGTGAAATACAAAGGGTAAGCGACAGACAACAAAAAATTAATTACTCCGGTCTGAAAATAGCCCAGTGTCGATGTTAAGCTCTTTGATGTTACCACGGGACACTGCCCGGGATAAATATATGTTTCTTCTCACATGGTCCGTGAAGACGATGTCCAACTGTTTTGATCTAATTAGTAGTCTAAGTTGTATATTATATTATTATCTAATATTTTTATATAACGAGCTTTGTCAGCGACTTCGTCCGCATAGAATAGTTATTTTGGGCATCTAAATCTGTTTTGCAAACCTCGTCTTCATCTTTATCAATTTAAGCCGTTACGTCATCGCGTCCCGTCGTATTTGCAAGTTAATCGTAAAATATAGACATATAGTGTACAACACATTTTTTTAGATCATTTAAAGAGGAATCATTCAGTCGTACATATTTTTGCGTATCCTAAACCGTTTTGTAGCGTGCGCCAAAACCCAAGGATAACAATTTTCCACAGCGAGATGTTTTATAGCCTTATAACCTTCCTCGATAAATGTTCTAACCATCGAAAAAATATTTTTTTATTCGAAGTAGTAGTTCTTAATTAACGCGTTCAAACAATCAAACACTTCAGCTTATTAGAATAGATAAGCAGAGCGACATAAATTCATTATTAACACACATTTGTTACGTATTCATAACTCCTTTTTAGACATCAAATCATTAACACAATACATTAAATACATCATAAAATATTTTAATACGCAGGAAAGACAAACCGTTCAATAATAAACATGTTACAAAAACGTTTTGATTTACTCATAACATGCATTCGGCTTATCTTTGTTTTCGCACGTCAAATAACCGAGGCGGGCCCTTTGATCTTGCGCCCGAGCCGGTGCGTTTGAAGTCAGCGTCAATACTCAATTCACAACCAGCTCTATCTTATCTATGTAGGTATTGAAAGGCCACCAACCCACTATCTATTTATATCAATTATCGATTTAACTTTTTATTGAGTCCTTACAATATTTATGTCAAAGATTAGCGCGTAATGTAATATTCATGTTCGAAATAAAATAATCATATCCGCGGGTAGTTTCGTTTTTTCGATACGACGACGGAATTGATCGCGCGCTGTCACACGCTCTTTGGTGTCATTCGTGCGAGTTGATTGTGACAGTTTATGACTTCTATGTGAATTGAAAATATTAACTTACAACCCGCGTGTTTGAAAGACTACTAGTTATTGTTTTAATAATTTTAGTGCAGTTTGTTTTTAAGTGTAACTCTTTTGTTTAAATCAGAGTGACGTGTGACTTAAGTTTACAAACGAATCCTGGGGGCCCTTTATTCCCAACTATGGTGCAGATTGAACCCACAGTAACAGTGTACATAAAGTCAGGAGCTAACCACTGGAACGGTGGTATGTATTTAGAGGAATCACCTACCAACCTACTTATATCTTTAATGGTAGCGTGTATCAAAATTTTTCCGTTTTTTTACTTTGTCTTGTTTAAAGAGAATTTGTAATCGTAATTTGATAGAAATATAATATATTTAATAATCGATAACATATCAATTTTTATACTCGCCTATTATAAGCCCACCTTTCTTCTTTTAAATTTTATTACTTGCACATAATAACATCTTTTGGACTTTGTTTATAATGATTTGCGTATTTCTATGAACACATGTACAATATAACATATATATCTTGGTTAATCCAGCTAAGCCCAATATCTGCGCACCTTAGACATTATGATAAACAATATCAGTAAGAAGCAAGACGTACAATAAGTTCATTGATTCTTTGAGTTTTGTGTGGTTTAAGAACTCTGTGTCAGTAAGTTGACCCATCCCACCTATCCTACGAATCCTACGTCTCAGTGTGGTTAGCCGGACTTAACCTACCGCCACTAAATTAGTAATACGATGGGTAAACGAATTCTCGAAAGTTCTCAGTAATAAATATAATTTTTCTAACATTTTACCGATCTCGGAATTCGAGCTCGCAACTTGCGACTGCACTAACATTCACCAATGAGTCAAAGAACAAACATTTTATACGCGAATAACATATAGAGAACGTTGAAATATTCAATGAAATCCGTATATTTTTATCTACAAAAGTGTAAAAGAAGTTGATCTACATTTTACGAAACTCGCTATAGAATCGTTACTATAGAATCAACAATCAAAGGCCGAGCTGATTTACGCTGTAAACATGTCTGCAACCAGATTGTGTACACTGGCTACTTCTGATCTTAATTCGCGACTCGACAGGAACCATAAGCTATTTTTGGTTTAATAATGGCCGGGTGGGCCTGTGATGTGGCGACTTGCGGCTGGCGATTATCCGTAATTGCTTCGAAGATTACGAAATCATTCTCGTTTTTAAAGTGATGACTGTATAAGGCTT